TCCGGTGGCTTTCAACCGTTCACATTATGAGTACACACGTTATTCGTTGCCGGTGCGCGTACGACGGTGTTGTTGAATAGATTGGACGTGAAAAATTGTAAGTACAAAAATTGTTCATTATTTTTAGTAGATATGCGATCGATTCGCGTATTGTTTTTAACATGTTACAACATTTGTTAGCGGTTGCATTTGTCCAGNGTTTTTAACATGTTACAACATTTGTTAGCGGTTGCATTTGTCCAGATTCAAATGAATTGTCGGTAAATAGTACTTACCAAATACTAACCAATAAAATACCTGAATGATATAATAAGTATTTTGTAAACAGCTGTGACGATTGGCTTTCCGCGTACAATCATAACAGCCGAACCGAACACTTTCACTTAGACATTTCGATAAAAAAAATTATCAACGTTTCATAAGTTAACTTTACGCATATTTTGTAAGGAAATTAATTACTATATACGTTTCATTAATTGTTTGTTGTTAAAATGTACAGAGTATTTGATAAATAATAACCTAACGTAATAATAATCATAGTATTCCTCGACAATTAACAATCGTACTTCGGTTTAATTTACCGTCATTGAATATTTTATAGTCCAACAAGTGCAAGAAGTTAACTATGGTGATTATTTTCATAATAAACGTGTTAAGTAAAGCTGATGGTTTTAATGCTAATGCACTTAAATATAACAGTTTAAGTATTATTTAAAAAATAAAGCAATTAATACATTTTTTTAAAATTAATTTGATTTTAATTTGTATTACCCAATAAATAAAGATTTCATAATATCTTTTACAGGAAAACGTTGTTTTAAATCAATTGGTAGTTGTGTAATATCTCCGAGTCTAAAATAAATTCGAGAGGACCAGCCGTGTATTTTCAAACAATTTTAGGGAGAGGGTTTGAAAATTTCGATTGAAGAACATAGTAAAAAATTGTCTTATTTTTATTCCTCCTTTAAAATTATTAGTGTTTCTTGAATCGTAAGTAGTTTTTGAATTAAAAAAATATATTCTTCTAAAATATAAAAATGTCTCTAATTGCGACGTTGGTATGGTTCACGGTATATGTTTAGTTATGTTTTTGGCTTCAGTTGGGTTTTGAAAAATACCCCTTAAACAACGCCTCTGGAAAGGATTAAATATATTTTCCTCCTACCTAAAAATAATGTAACATTCCATTGTAAATATTTTTTTTCTGAATATTTAAATGTTGATTTAAAATTTTTATAATTCTTAATCTCTTCGATTACACCAATAAAAAACACATAGTTATAAGTGAACCAATGCCTTTAAAAATATAGTCTTTTAAAGTGCTTTACTTAATTCATACCACTGAACATTTACCTAATGAGTTTTGATGAAATACATTAAATAAAGAGAAAAATTTTAAACTAAAAGTTAATAACCCATCATTTGAATAAATGTAATGTCAGTCTGAATTTTTTAAACAACGTGATATTTATCATTGGATTCATTAAATAACTGCATTGAAATATATTAATTTTTTAATTATTAAAAACAATAATCTCGAAATCAATATTTTATTATTATGATCTCTTCAGCTCTATGTACTCCAATTATGTTATTGTAAAAATAATGTCGATTTTTCCAGTTAAAAACGTTCATAACCATTGAAGATGGATAATAAAGGGTTCAGCGGAAAATGTTGTACTACTTCGATGGAGATGAAACGCCCTCCAGCTATTGATCCAGAAAAGGCCACTTCTAAGGATAAAAAATGCCCGGCTATATGTCCTCGGACTCCTTCACCATGGCATCCAGACAAAACGCGATACGTAATCATCCTATTAGTTGCTACAGTCACATGGACAATATTGGGATTTGCTATGGTTTTTCTTCATATTTTTTAAAGCTGTTTTGTGTACGTCACAAACGTTTTGAACATTTTATCATAGTTTCCAACCCAATGATAATAATATAATTTTCACTGTTGATAATTAAGTATTCAAACGCAGTTTAAAATGTAATCTATATTAATCATTTTGGGTTTAAGTTAATCATTACCGCAGGAAATATCTTTTATGTTAAAATGTTATACGATAAAATGGAATATGATGATAGCTTTAACAAGCAAGGTTTTTTTTAATGTGAATACACCGTTTATTACCCATTAATTTAAAAAAGAAATTATGTACCTTTTCGACAATAAAATAATAATATACTGCTGTAAATATAAACCGTTTATTGGTAAGATAACGCACAGTCTTTAAAAACCTTATTTTTTTAGTTATAAAAGTTATCTTTATTATTGTTATTATTTATTCAAATTATTATTAAAGTTGTACCTTTGTTCAATGTTAATTTTTTATTTTTATAAAAAAAAAAAATAAACAAATTCAAATAAACAGTATTATAAATAGTTTTTTTTTTTTTTTTTAATTAAAATATAAGCATTAGTTTTTTATTAATACTTTAATGATGTAATATTGTAATAATAAATTACTTTTAGTAATAAATAATTCACTAATGTGAGTTTATGTAAATTTTAAACAATTAAAATAATGAATTCATGAAAAATATGTTTACCTGTACTTTTTACCAATACCAACTTAGAGTTAAACTAAATTACTTCGTAATATTACTTTAAATATAAATTTCTACATCAATAATAATATATTATTATAAAATGAAGTATCAATAAAATAAAAATGTATATTAGATAATTATAATCTACAATAAATAAATTTTTCATGTTATATATTTATCAAATTTAAATAATTACCCTCACGTGGCTTGACCATAAACATAAAATAATTTTTGAAGAAAAAAATGTTTACTATGTTTAAAATAATTTAATATGATTTATATTAATAAATATATAAAAATAACCATATTTATTTATTATTATATTACATTGTTCACGAGAACAGAGGATAGAAATGAATTGTAAGATGAAGTATTCTAGTACTAATGATCGTAGATAAGATAAGAGGAAATTGGCTTGGATAGTTTAGTCATCTTATGAAGAGAAAACTCGGAAGCTATAAGAATGATTATGAAAATTAAAATTGAAGAAAGAAGAGAAATAGGTAGTTAGATGTAATTGGGGGTGATAGTAGGACTGCTAATGTAAATATAGATGAGATGGGAGATCGCATTAAGTGGCGGTTAAGGATACAAGTGACTAACCTCAAGTAGTTAGAATAAAGACGAGGTAAAAAAGATATTATATATCTTTTGATTCATTAAACAATTAGCTTTGTAGGGTTTTCAAGGTTTAGAACACACCTTGTGCATCTGTTGTATCGACCAAGTGTATCATGTACTATTACTAGATAATAAATAAAAACTTCAAAGTATGTCAATTATTATTTTTAATCTTATAAAGTTTATAAATAAATTATCATTATAATCTTATTTAATTCATTTCTTATTCCATGTATTAGTAAAAATAATAAAAATAAATTATTTTTAATTATGCATATGGTTAATTATTATATATCAGTGATTCTCAGTCTATGTTGCGTGAGAAGTTATCAGAAAGTAAACAAAAAAATTTTGTTTTATATAAAATATAGAAATTATTTTCAATATTGAGTAATACTTGGCTTACTTAATTAACCAAATAGTATCGCAAGTTTTCAGTTCCTTAATAAAATATTACATACATCTAAATTAACATACAAAGTTATCTGTTATTAAACTTCAATTACTTATAAAGTACAAATAATTTCGGAATTATTTGATTTTTTATTTTTTTCCTTATATTTCTATATTTACCAATTATTAAGTATTTTTACAGTAAATCCTTTATATTTTATAGGGATTTTAATATAGAGATATTTAATAAATAATTATTCAGTTGGATATGATTTTGAAAAAATCTATTATGATAATTCTTTAAACTAAATTCAATATTTAAATTGAAACAGCAAAAATAAAATAAGGTAAATATAGTATTTGCCTTATTAAAATTAAACTACATTTTAACCGAGGTCAAAATTGTATTCAAATTATTTATTCAGTCTGGATTGAAGATGTTTTATACCGTCTTAAAAACAATGCGTTATATCAGTGATAGAAAGCATAACATGTAGGTCAAAAAAAAAAATTCCGAAATACAATTATTGGATTCATAAATTATATACAACTTGTCTATTTATATAACAAAATTAACAAGTTAAGCGAGTACGAGTAAAACTGTTAGCATCAAATTAAATCAATATGGATTTATAATCGTACTTTTTAAATATCACTTACGAATATTCGCAACTAAAATAATATATTTTATCACTATATAATACAAGAAAACTTATTGATTTTTGCCAAACAAATTTAAATATTATACACATTGTATAATATTTAACAGAAAAAAACTAATACACCCTTTTATTAAAGGACAAAGATAGTAATATACATATTAAATGACTGTAATACAGAATATATAAGGAACATAAAAAAGATAGTTTAATTACTATTTACAGAATTACAATAGTGACTTAGATTAAGTATGCATCTGTCAATTACTATACCACCCAACTAACCTTCTAAAAATTCTAGATCTCATCTACAATAAATGGATTCGATTAACCAAAGATAATTTTTTGACTAATTCAGTGATTATTATCTTAAGTTACACAGAAAAATCTATTTTCCAAAAAAAAGATGATAATCTATTTTTAACACTGTATAAAACGTTCAACTATATTAAGTTCTATAGCTAAACATATCCTTTTTAATAAATGACTCTAAGAAACCTTTGCCGACATATCGACAATATCACTAAAAAAAGTGGCAATCTAAGAGATATAAAAAATTACAAATGAGATGTCTGAAAAACTTTGGGACGATGCACTAAACTTTAAGAAGCATAAATGTAAAAAATAAATGCTAATTGGGCATTAATACCCTGGATGAAAAAGTCATTATTATTCTAGCAAGAATTGGATACATCTTTCTGTATTATCATGCCTTATTTCAAAAATTAAAAATTAATCTGTGATACATTCTCTCAATACAAAATATCATCATTGTCTGCTCAAATTACTCAAATATCGTAATTATTTTAGAAAATTATTCCTCGAAAGAAACACTTAAAAAAGAAAATAGAATGACGATATGTCAGTTATTTACAGACCTTGATTTAGCTAATTAAATGCATACAACATTTATTAAATATTTATTCGCATAACATTATGAAAATAATTATTAAAATTTATAAATTCTAAAAATAGCATTATTTTTAGTGATTTAAGTCTTTTAAAGAAAAAAAAAGTTAAATGAAAAAAATCGTTTTATATGTTATATTAAATAACAATTCGATATAATAATAAATATATTAATTATGATAAAATTATTTTTTAGCTATTTAGAATATTATTAGTAATTTGTATAAATATAAATATATCTATATTTAGCTCATCTTAGAATTTATCTCCGGAGTGATGCTTAAGAGGTTGGAGCTATACTTTCAATTTATCTTAAATCATATTTGTTGTTGTTATTATTTTTACTATTATCGCTGTTTTTGTTTTTATCATTGTCATTATTATTACTGTTTCTTTTATTTTTGTTTTTCATTAAATATGAAAAATACTGATTAGAAATTTATTATAACTTTTGACATAAATAATTTTGCAATTTGATTAACTTTTTATTAATATTTTTTGTGTAAAAGCCACTAAAATCGTACTAAAAAAAAAAAATAATACATAAAAGGTAATAATAAAAAAAGAGTTAAAACAGTTTTCCTGAAACGATAAAAATGTATTATATTGTTTTTTTGCACTAAGCCATTAATATAAAAACTATTAAACTTTTATGATCTGATTCTTAACATAACTTTTTCTTTAGCATCATTTTCTCTTTATCATTTTACTATTGTACCTCCTTATTATAGAATGGCTATCTGTATGTTAAGGATAATTTACATTTAAAAGGGCATTTTTGGAATTAGTTTCCAAAGGGTATATCTACCCTAGACATTTTTTTTTTTGCATAATAATTTATTTATTACATATAATCAATCAATCAATCAATATGTGTAGGAGTGAGCGTATCCACGGAGAATGGTGTTAGTTTATGATGTGTTTTATTCTATCTACCAAGGAATAATTTGGTTTATTATGTAAGTAGGAGGGGGTTGATTCACCTTCTTTCCACCACCATATATTAATTAACGTCAAGTTTCGCCCCCTGATCATAGGTGATGTATTATGAGGTTGTGGTGATGGGGGTAGGGGTGCAATATTGTCTAAATTACACTTCTTGCTTTCTTTCACCTACTAATATTTTTGAAAAAACGAAATATTATCCTAGAAACTGTATTTTATTTGTTTATTTATGTCATTAATATATTATTATTATTTGTGACACATATTTTATTTTAATTGATAGTAACAATTTGTAAAAATTATGTAAAAAACAAGTAACTTCACGTGAATTAATATTTCTTATTTAAGATAGGCAAATCGAAATGTAAACACGGATATGTAGCACAATTGCCTATACCTAAATCCGTTAAATTTTATTTATCAGTAAATGTTTTTAAAAATATTTTAGGTAGGTGATATATTTTGGACAACATTTTTCATCGGGCTAAATATTTTTTTTACTCGAAGAAAATTTCTAAAAAACATCAAATACGAACTGTCCTGTGGCGCTGAAACCCTTAATACATTAATAATATAATATTTCTTCTCCTCCATGATACATGAAATATTCAACTTAAAAATTATATGAAAATAAATTGATTACCTTGAAAGATAATACTTCATGATTTAACAGGAGACTGTTTTTACAGTTCGTACACTCACTTTATGCAAATTTACAATCTACTGCAGTCGATAAAAAATGTATTTTTACACTTTTCTATAATAGACGTAATATTATTGTTTTTTTTTTAATATGTTTGATCTTTAATAAATTTTTTTGTGCAATTACAGCCAAAAACGATGATGTATTTGATTCTATCTGAAAAGTAAAGAATATGACAGTATTTCAAAACTGTATCTACATTATTAATAAGTATGGAGAACAGACACTCACTTTTGTTAGCAGCGACACGTTATCTGATATACTGAATGTACAAGGCACACAGGACCCAAACCCTATACACATTGGAAATCCACTATTATTAGTCCTCTGATGCAGCACGTAGACATGGGTGGGCCTGGATGAGCCTGGCCCCCCTTAGATTTAATGTGGCCCAGGGCCGGCCCCCCAAATTTAAAATTCAATTATTTTTACGAATTATCAATAACGTACTAGGCCTTATATACATTGAAATTATTATTAATTTGTGATTACTATTGAGTAATACAGTTATTATTATGGCTGTATTTTCATTTTTATATTCATAGAAAACGTTATTTGAAAAAGATAACGTTCTGGACGTAATAATAAATGGAATAGCAGTTACTCCAAACGTGGTTGTAGGTAATTTTTTTTAACTCTGGTCCAACAAATGATAACAAACTATCAAACTACGTCAAAAGATCACAAATCGTATCTAGTCGATGACATTACCCTCAAAAATTGAAAAAAATTCCCTTGTTCCCCGTAAATGGGGGAAACCTCCAAAAAAATTACAAATATTAAAGCTAATGTAATGTACTTTATTATGGAAAAAAAATTTGGGACTTGCGAATTGAGCTAAAAGTTATGGTAATAAATTTATTATTATTTTTTTTTATTATAAACTTTCACTTTATAGGACAAAAAAAAGTAGGTTAAAAATTATTACTTTTAACATATTAAAAATCAATAATAACTTGAAAACAATTAATTATAAAAAATATATAATATATAAGTAAAAAAGAATTACTAATCTGGATATAATTAAGGAAGTAGAAGTTGTTGTTGCTTTTGTAATTATCAACCAATTTTTTAGAATTAAACACTATCTACAGATTTGCATCGAAGCGTTTCTTATGATAGTGATTTTAATCACTGTCAGATTAAATCTATACTGGACCCAACTATGCTACGTCCTCACTGTGCCACGACCTCACTGTGCTGGGTTTTTTTTATATTTATCTGTTCATTACCATCAGTCATACTCAATGACTGTCTGAAAAATTCATCTATTGTTTTTTTTATTATAAACTTTCACAAAAATCAACCATAAAGGATTAACAAAATAGGTAAAATGTGTCATTTTTCATATTTTTAACATATTAATAATTAAAATCAGTATTAACTTAAAACAATTTTTTAAAATTAAACACTATCTAAAAATTTGTTTAATGTCAATACTTATTTTTTAATAATATATAATTCTATCAAAACTTAGAAGTGATAGAAAAAGTCTAATTAGAGATTTAAAAAGAGCGCGAAAAGTTAAAAAATAAAAGTATATTTTTGTTTATTATAATTTCTTTGCATAATAATGGTAATTAGTGTAAACCAATAGTACTTAGTATTAAGGGTATAATAAATTAGTAGTAATATGTACTTAGGGAGCAGAATAATAATAATTGGTAATAAAGGGAGAGAAAAATAGTATCTAAGGGTAATTAATATTTAAGGGTGTATAATAAAGAGGAATTAGGGGACATACTAAAAGTTAGAGGAGATTGGTAATTAAGGGGTATACTAAAAGAGTAGTTAGGGGAGTTATTAATTAAGGGGATGCTAAAAATAATACTTAGGGGGAAATATGTAATTAAGGGGGTATACTTAAGAGAAAGTTAGGGGGAGTTGGTAATTAAGGGAGTACACTAAAAGAGTAATCAGGGGGAAATATGTAATTAAGGGGTATACTAAAGAGAAAGTTAGGGGGAGTTGGTAATTAAGGGAGTATACTAAAAGATTAGTTAGGGGGAAATATGTAATTAAGGGGGTATTTTTATTATTTTGTCTTCACGGTGAAAACAGACATCAAAGTTAGTAAAAAAAATACGATTTTTGTAAAAAAATTCTTTTTTATATTTTTAACTTTATAATACTATAACTTATTGAAAAGCGTATGGATCAAAATAATTTTTCTATGAGAAATACTATTTTTTAATAATCTCTTTTTCATTCGACATACTTTATCTTAATCATGATATTAATAAGGAACTAGGAGATTATGTAGCTTTTGGAATAATCCACCAATTTTTTTAAATTAAACACTATCTAAAGATTTGCATTGAAGCGTTTTTTTTTTTTATAGTGATTTTAATCACTGTCAGATATCATTATACGTGATCCAACTATGCCACGTCACCACTATGCCGCGACCCCCTGTGCTGGGTTTTTTATAATACTGTAATAATTAGTATACTTTATACGAAAACAATTTGTTTTTAACCAATCAATGGTAAAATTTTGAACTTGTAAGATTCATAGAATGGGATACTGTCTAAGGAGGAGTGGATGGAGCCCCCCCCCAAAACCTTTTCATGGGAAACAAATTATGGTAAATGATACAAGGGCCCAAAATTGTTGGCCCCTCCAATAAATATTTTCTGGCTACGTGCCTGCTCTGATGATGAGGAAACTTATGAGCACTATTTGCATATGCCCCCAGCTTAATAACTGTGATATTTTGTATATATAATAATAATTATAATTATTATTGCCCTTAAATAAAGGACTTTATGTTGTTCTTTATTTCTAATTATTAGAAAAGATAAGATTACCAAAACCACCATCAAACTCAATAAATAAGAACACAAAAATGATAGGCAAAACTATATTAACGTTAAAACGATAAAGAAATCATAAAAATGTATATCAAGTTATCAAAAAATGATTAATGTTTATGCTATTTAAAAAATAAACAATCCCTCAATAAAATAAATATTATTGTAAAGATTAGTGTACATTTTTTTTATTAGAAAAATAGTCTGTACATAAAATTTACAACAAGTTTTTTTTTTACTTATTCAATTACATAGCATTAGTAGCGTTAAAGGAAGTCACCCATTGATAACAACTCAATTAGTTTTAGCTAAAGCTGTATTCTAGTTATGATTTTATTGTTGTTGTTATTTACGTTTAACTCTACATAGTTGGTTTAAGGTACATTTTTTTAATTAAAGGGTTTGTGTTTATAATAAGTTTTGAGTTAAATCTAGTATATTGTAATATAGTAAATCAACAGTTTTGATGTTTAAATCTTTGTGTAGGTTATTATTCGTTACATACCAAAGCACACCAGTTAACACTCGTTATGTTATATTTTCAAAGGCTTGTATTGGTTGAATGTTAGATGGTTTAGCTGGTCCTCATATTTGGATACCATAAGACCAGATTGATTTGATTATTGACTGATAAATAGTAGTATTTAATTTGTGTTAAAAAATTAAAGTTAAAAAATATCCTCTAATATTTTTATTTATAAAAAAATCGATTTCAAAATTTGAGATTATCCAATAATATTATGTTTATTGTTATACTTTTATCAAATTTTATTGTCCAAGTAAAATTGCTATCAAGTTTTTGTCTTAGATTAAATTTGTTTTTATCCAGTATTTCATTCATTCATATAGTATTCATTTATAAACTATAGAATAAATATATATTTAACAACTTTTTAATTCATAATTTTAATTTAGTTATAGTTATTTTACTTAAAATGTTTGATTTCTAATGTCTCATAAATTTAACTAGATAGTTTTCAAAAGTTAATAGCGTTGGTAATTTGTTTTATTTATTGTAATAAATGAAAAAAAATATATAATTATCCTTTAAACTATATTTTAGTATATTATCAGTCATATGTTACCTTTAAAATTTATTCTTAAGAAAATTTAATTTTTTTTTACAATAAACTTGATATTTACAACAGTTTATAAAAATAAATTAAATTTTAATCTATACGTTTAAACAAAAATATCTTTATTTAAACGAAAAATTAGAGATTTGAAGAATACTTAGACCTTGCGTGTGCTTCATTTGCGCTATATTTACTATTTAAATAAATGTAGAAATGTAGAAATTAGGATATTAATTTTATAAAAAGTAAATAAATATATTTAATAAAATTTCAATAAAAAGTATAAATAATTTTTTATTAATAATCTATTATTATTATAAGAAATAATCTTATTATTTTTTAGTTACAGTATTATTTATATTAGATAAATATTATTTATTGCTAATTAATTAATTTTAACAAAGTAACTATAAATAATTATATAATTGGGTAACATTAATTTAAACAAAAGTAAATTTATAACAACCAACCAAGAACAAAAAATAATAATAATAATAAATGAATTGTATAAACGATATTGCAACAGATTTTATTGACTTTTAAGTCAACATTTTAAAATATCTAATTTCACACATTGTTCTATAGGTAATCATCATTAATCTGTAAATATTTTATAATTATAGTAATCATCAGATTTTGTGATCAAGGGAACAAATTTTGGTGTGGTCGGTTATCTTCTGATATGATATAAGTAATATTAAAATAATAAAAGTATTTTATTTAAAACTCTTTTTTTCTCCTGGCAAAAGATTTTGGGTTGACTTTAAAGCTGATATAGGAATCTGAAATAAATAAAAATGTGATAAGCACAAAGAAAACTAAAACATTTTTAGGACTATATTTAATTGAATAATTATTTTTTTAATTGTTACTTACAGCAAATATTTGATCATAGTTCTTTTGTACTATTGATCCTGGTCCTGCATTAGCTGTCACTCCTGATTGTACATGGTCATTGCTAGCCATTGCTACACGGCCATTGACGCCATCAGAAACAATTGCAGCTTTGCGTACAGCTAAAATAAAATAAACATACAGATATTTCTTAAGGACTAATAACTAGGACCCGGTAGTATATTAATTTATATATTTTGTTTGAGCCACTTTAAAGGGACCTACGTTTGTACAATTTTATCGTAGGAATATATAGTAACGTAGAAATACCCCCGCCCCAAACTTTAATCTCGGTAACAACTAATTACTAAGATTTCATGTCAATTAATAAACATTTGTACTGGCCTATGATGTGTTCAGAATATCTTAACAAAATTTATAAATACTTATACTCCCGAGCCCTATTTACACCATTCAGATGGTTCAGTCTTATTTTTCATACCGGTTGGTTTTTGATTAAGATATGTGTTCACGGATTGCAAAACATCGATGGGAATCTAAAAAGTACAACAACAATTTCAACTTTATACTTTGAAAATCATTAATATCTCACAAGTCACGATAATATTTATTTATAAGATTTTTAAGATTTACTTTTATGATTAGTTAACTATATTCATAAAACTTGTAATATGTACATCATGCTTATTTTTTTACTTACAGAAAAAATCCTTTTGTAGAAATCTTGTTGACCAACTACACCACTTTGTGCATTTTGTCCAGCAACCCCTAGTGACTCTACACCATATCCGTACCCATATTTTACTTTATTATCAATGCCTGGCATTCTAACATTGGTCCCTACAGCACTAGCTCCAACTCCATCCACACCATAACGAGCACCGGCACCTAGTCCACTACCTCCGGCCGAGGCAACAGCACCTTTATCAGATAGACCAGCAGAAGCTTGAAAATCTCCAAAAGAAGCCGAAACAGTATCTCCGTTCTTTTTTAACTCGCCTGGCAACATTATTTCCTGTGATAAAAATGACTATTTTAAATAATTATACATCACCTGTCAAAAAAAAATTAAACTATCTATTTTATTTCTTAATTTTCATTAATGTGTCAACAAATAGATTTTACTGTTTTTATTTTTTTTTCTATTTTAGTGTACATTATAATTATTATATAATATTACGGTATAATGAGTACTGTAATGAGTCAAACGTTCAAGCTATTTTACGCTACTCATTTTTATAATATAGTTTGAATTTCAAAATTAATTTTAAAACTTTTAATTTTAAATAAAATTTTTTTAAAAATTAATCGATGAAAAAAGTAATTTTTTAACTTAGATATTTTGACGCCGGGTCTTAAGAAATCAAATGTTATTGGAAATTATAAGTTAACAACTTCTTATTTTGAATTGTTTAATCCTTTCCATTACTCATTGATTTGTAGTATATAATGTGTATATTATTTATTATTCTCTTTATTATACTTAGCTATAATACCTTGTCTTTTGGTGCAGCCAAAATAACAGCTACGGTAGTCGCGAAAATCAACGAAAATAGGNTTTATAATTATTATATAATATTATGGTATAATGAGTACTGTAATGAGTCAAACGATCAAGCTATTTTACGCTACTCATTTTTATAATATAGTTTGAATTTCAAAATTAATTAAAAAACTTTTCAGTTAATTTTAAAGTAAATTTGAATAAAAATTTTTTTTAAATTAATCGATGAACAAATTAATTTTTAAACTTAAATATTTCGACACCGCGTTTTAAGAAATCAAATGTTAATGGACATTATAAGTTAACAACTACTTATTTCGAATTGTTTAATCCTTTTCATTACTTATTAATTTGTAGTATACAATGTCTATATTATTCATTATACTCTTTATTATACTTAGCTATAATACCTTGTCTTTTGGTGCAGCCAAAGTAACAGCTACGGTAGTCGCGAAAATCAACGAAAATAAGATGAATTTATTCATATTTCCTAAAACCAACTATGAATTAATAAAAAAAAAAAGAGACACTGCATTAAACACCTCAGATACACGGAAGTATAATATAACACGGATATGTTTTTGTAAGTACAATGCACACTTTTCAGAATGATACATATCTACATTAATCAGTACTTCCGTGTGACCAGGACTAGAATGTTATGAAAAGTTTATAATAAAATTTTAATATAACTTTGTAGGTTACTTGTTTCTGACTTACTTTTGTATTGTGTACGTCGACAGTTATAAAAACAATAATTTTTGAAAATCTATTTTTCATAGACTAACTTATCTAAACTATCGACAGATTTTGAACCAATATTAATTGTAGCATCTACTTAAATAATACTTGTCTGAATAAATATTTTTATTACGCAACTAACCGTACAAAAGAGGGGAAGTATTAGTTTTCATACGTGTATTTTACGTCCTTCTAATTACGTGCGTCGGAGGTACAAGGCTATCGCGTTTTTTACCACCACCATAGATTTGATCCTTATTGGTCAAAACAGAGAGAAGTACTATAGAGGAAACTAGCATACATACAATAATATGGAACTCATTATCAATATTTCCTTTACACCACTAAAACAAAAAATAAAAATCTAATGATAATATACAGCTCTAGTCTAATATAATGATGTTCGGCTTGAAAAAGGCACAACTATTTTCAAGAGTTTACTAATATCAAATATTCAGTAAATATAATTTCTGGTCAGAGAACTTTAATACTAAAATACATAGTTNGAATAAATATTTTTATTACGCAACTAACCGTACAAAAGAGGGGAAGTATTAGTTTTCATACGTGTATTTTACGTCCTTCTAATAACGTGCGTCGGAGGTACAAGGCTATCGCGTTTTTTACCACCACCATAGATTTGATCCTTATTGGTCAAAACAGAGAGAAGTACTATAGAGGAAACTAGCATACATACAATAATATGGAACTCATTATCAATATTTCCTTTACACCACTAAAACAAAAAATAAAAATCTAATGATAATATACAGCTCTAGTCTAATATAATGATGTTCGGCTTGAAAAAGGCACAACTATTTTCAAGAGTTTACTAATATCAAATATTCAGTAAATATAATTTCTGGGCAGAGAACTTTGATACTAAAATACATAGTAATGCTGTATAACGTGATCAAAATTAAAAGTACATCAATTTTCTTAAAAAAAAGAAAAATTACAATTACCACCACATGATTTTAATATGAGTAGAAAACTTTTAAGTGTTCATAATTATTTATTTATAAATGTTTACATGTTCTAATGTCTACTACTTTTAGAGCCTGTTTACTAGTATTGAATAATTGAGATTGTTTAGTATACAGTAAATATGTTTAAATAATTGGTAAATATCATCATAAGAATCGATATTCTAGTTTGTATACAAACAAACCAAAATAACGTATGGCATTTATTTATTTTACATATTAAATCAACAATTAGGCAAATGAAAACTAATAGTTATATACTTTTTTAAATAGCAGACTTCAAATATGCATATTATATTTCTAACTTATTATAATTTCGATACAATTAATAGATAAACCCTTGTATGTAAAAATATATTGCGTAGTGTTCATTTAAAAACGTACTAATTATTTGAAAACAGTGGAAGTCAGTCATAAATAATTTAATTTAATGCATAAATAAAATATTACTGGCTTCTATTCGCGTTATATTTTAATTTTACTGTTGTAGAATACTCGCTCGGCTCCTGTCTCTTCTCAATAATTTTCATATTAAAATAAACAACATAAAATTTCATTTGTTAAATTATTTGATATTTTAAGTCTTTTTTATTAATGAAGAAATGTAGACGACTTGGTTCATTTCGATAATATATAAAATAAATATAAAAAATAAGCAAACACCATTTGTATTTTAATTGAGCAATAGATGCATACGATATTACCAATGCGAATAATAAGACAATCTTTTAGTAATGTAAAATAACAAGTATAGAAATATTTAAATAACAGCAAAATATAAACTGAGTATCAAAAAAAAGATAAATTTTATTGTAGCATAAATAATTTAAACTTAATATTCAATTATTGAATTTGAGTTTTTAAATATGTAACATGTAAATTATATCACAGTAAATATTATAACACGATATTTAAATTAGAAATATATCTAATTAAGTATTTATTCATTTTGATTATTTGATTAAGGAAACTTTTGAATAGGTTTATATACATAACATTTAGGAGTTTGCCAGCGCACATTAAATCCTAACTTGTTATTTTGGGTGTGCTTAATTACTGGATTATCCAATAAAAATTCATTCTTATTGATATTCTATTTTTTTTCTATAGCAACATAAATCTGAGTGGGGAATATTTTTCACAGTACTGCCACTTAGTCAAAATAATTTATCATTAGTTCACAAAATAAAATATAAATATAAATATATCACTTACTTTTACACAAATTATCAATTAACAATTAGGAAGCAGTTTCAATTGTCTCGCTTAGAGTTGTCGCTAACTACAGAAGTATACTATACCTATAAGAAACCTTTTATCTTATTTGATATTAGAACTTAAATTAAGTAAATAATGAGTCAAAGTGTGAGAAAAAAGATTAATATCCAAGAAGNATCTAATTAAGTATTTATTCATTTTGATTATTTGATTAAGGAAACTTTTGAATAGGTTTATATACATAACATTTAGGAGTTTGTCAGCGCACATTAAATCCTAACTTGTTATTTTGGGTGTGCTTAATTACTGGATTATCCAAAAAATTCATTCTTATTGATATTCTATTTTTTTTTCTATAGCAACATAAATCTGAGTGGGGAATAATTTTCACAGTACTGCCACTTAGTCAAAATAATTTATCATTAGTTCACAAAATAAAATATAAATATAAATGTATCACTTACTTTTACACAAATTATCAATTAACAATTAGGAAGCAGTTTCAATTGTCTCGCTTAGAGTTGTCGCACTCGTTCCATTGGCACTTAATATTTTTAATCATAACTACAGAAGTATACTATACCTATAAGAAATCTTTTATCTTATTTGATATTAGAACTTAAATTAAGTAAATAATGAGTCAAAGTATGAGAAAAAAGATTAATATCCAAGAAGTCCTTAAAACCTTGACTCTTCAAATCCTCGACGAAGAAGTACCAATATTTATAAATTTTTACTTAATTTATTATCAATATTCCACAATAATAAAAAATGTGGTAATCTTATTGTATAATAAAATAAGAAAAAACGCTTTGCTTTGAAAACGAATGAATATGCTCTGACTTTTAAAAATTATTTTTTAACAAAAGTACTCAGGACAAGTGCTGAAAAAATTATTGACAAAAGTCAGAAAATTTTAATCCGTCTTTTTTTACTGCCATATGAGCTTTTTTATAACGTTTTGACTATAATTTTTATTTTAAATGTTACCATTATAACGTTATTATTAATAACGTTTTTCTAGAACGAATTCTAATTTTGTCAGACGTTTATAAAATATCATAATTAATTATAACTCATTTCAGTATCAGCTAGGTAACATCTAGCATTTGATAAGTAAATAAAGTAGATTTCCAATTTTAATTTTTAGTTATTTTCTAATTTTTATTTTTATATATCGAATATAAATACTATTACAGGGAGTGTTTGAATTACTTTTCTTTCTAAAATCTAATATTTCTTAAAAGAAAAATTCATAAATAAAATGTTCTCAATTATGTTTATTGTTTATTAATAAAAAACAATCTGTAAAAAATTTGTTTACCATTATATATTGTGTTAAATTACAAATTAGCTACGATTAGCACAAAAAGAAGTCATCTAACTGCGATATTTCTACTGGTCGTTTAAGTTGTAATATAACATGATAAATAAATTTTTTAATTAAACTATGATTTATATCAAATATTATGTTTAGTAAAACATTGTAATGACGCTCTAATATTATTAATATTCAAGTATATTGAAATCACTTTTTTGGTATCACTTTTTGTGATTCAGAAATCAATTTTTAAGTCAACTAAAATTTAAATTATGGTGTTTCTACACTTTTTAAAGTTTCTTAACAACTACTAAAGAATTCGCAGATTTTTTTTATTTTTATGTTAATATTAGATAATGATTTATATATTTAATAATATTTTAATAGGGCAGGTAAAATGTATTGTGTATCATTTCTAATTTTTATATGAATTGTAGTTCATTTTACTATAACCGAAAANATTACAGGGAGTGTTTGAATTACTTTTCTTTCTAAAATCTAATATTTCTTAAAAGAAAAATTCATAAATAAAATGTTCTCAATCATGTTTATTGTTTATTAATAAAAAAACAATCTGTAAAAAATTTGTTTACCATTATATATTGTGTTAAATTACAAATTAGCTACGATTAGCACAGAAAGAAGTCATCTAACTACGATACTTCTACTGGTCGTTTAAGTTGTAATATAACATGATAAATAAAGTTTTTAATTAAACTATGATTTATATCAAATATTATGTTTAGTAAAACATTGTAATGACGCTCTAATATTATTAATATTCAAGTATATTGAAATCACTTTTTTGGTATCACTTTTTGTGATTCAGAAATCAATTTTTAAGTCAACTAAAATTTAAATTATGGTGTTTCTACACTTTTTAAAGTTTCTTAACAACTACTAAAGAATTCGCAGATTTTTTTTATTTTTATGTTAATATTAGATAATGATTTATATATTTAATAATATTTTAATAGGGCAGGTAAAATGTATTGTGTATCATTTCTAATTTTTATATGAATTGTAGTTCATTTTACTATAACCGAAAACAATATTAGTCATTTTAATAACTATATACTTTCGAAATATTTTAAAATTTTTTATCCATAATAAATACTTTTTTGTATGGTAAAAAAAATTGTTACGTAATCCTTATAATAACAGTTACAAATAAAAATTTACTCAAATATAGTTTAACGATGTGTCTGAACACATATTTATAGTATTTAATTTTGTGTGTTCTAAAAGTCTTTCAGAAATTTCAAGTCCTCCTTTTAAATTTTCAATGTCATCGTTTTTTTTTTAATGTGGGTACATCAAGTTTAAAGTGCACAAAACGATACTTCAAAATCTCATACACATAATAGTGATAATATGATTTAAAATCAATGTCAAAATAGGTTTAAATCTATNTTTATTATGGTACTGACATAATGCTAAAAATACTAAATAAGCAAAATAGCATTTGCATTATGAAATATGTAATATTAAATTTTGTATCGAGTTTATTGGTTTTCAAACAAATTTATAACTTATGAAGGTATCCCGTAAAAAAAAAATATAACTTAACATTAAATAAAGATATATTAATACTTTTAAAAATAATAATATAAATACCTATACTATTGATTAATTCATTAAAAAACTCAAATATCAAAATAATTATGGTGTTGAAATTTTAGTGTCGGTTATGGTTTCGATTTTAAAAACATTTTTTTAGGTTTCGCTTCTAACCCTTTTTGTAACCATTAATATAATAGTAATGTATATAATATTTCGCCTATCTTAGGCACAACCTATGCTATTTTGGGGAGGTTTTATGTATTATATATTTTATATAATTTTATTTATTGTAATGTTATTTGACTTAGGTAAATATTATTATTATTATTAATAGACTTTTTGTGGGGTAAAATCATCCTTGAAAAATGTTTATTTAAAATAACATAAAAATAATTTAAAAGAAAGAAGGAACTTTTTAATTTTTGACCATATCTTGCATTACAAGAAATATTTTAAATTCTGAATCAATTGTAAAAAATGTGTATAAATTTAACAAACTTAATTGTTTATTAAATTAAATAATCTATATAAATAATCTTAATAACATAGCAATAATAATCTTAAACTAATATTTAATTTTAAACCAAAATAAAAGTAGTAACTTAAATTAAACAATTTTTGTTTTCATCACATGAATAACTTATTTTTTTCCATTAAGGAGATTTTGGACTGATCTCAAAGCTGTAATGGGAATCTGAAATAAATATAATAATTATCAACATACTCTCAAAAAATAAAATAAAATATATTTCATTTTTTTATATTACATTATAAAAAAATAAATATTTCATACTAATATTTTTTTGGACTTACATTGAATACTTGATCGTAATTCTTTTGTACTACTGGGCCTGAACCTGCACTAGCACTGGCTCCAGCAACACTCACTCCAGTATTTCCGTATTCAGCTCCTGAACTAGCTGTTGCAACTGTTTCAGATACAGATACTTTATTAACATCTCCCACTTTACCAGCTGTTGCTACATAACCGTTTCCTCCGTTAGAAACAACGACAGCTTTTCGGACGGCTGTAATTAGAATTAAATTAAAACTTTAAGGCCTTATATTTCATATAATATTCATTTTATACCTGTTGGTCTTTGGTTAAGGTAAGTATTGACAGATTGCAAAACATTGATTGGGATCTGAAAAAAAAAGTTGTATAGCATTAGAATCAACATTCTATAAATCGTTTCATAACACAATAAGTTGTTTTATATTTTTGCACTAATTTATAATAATTGTATAAATTTAAGAATAAGTGCTGTATCATTTTTTACAGAGAAATCAAAGTACTTTACGCCTGCATTGGAATAACTTACAGCGAAAATTCTATCGAAGAATCCTTGTCCTGCGATGACACCTTGATGTCCAGGTTGACCAATAGAACCGACTCCGTATGCGGCTCCTTGTTTATTACCAGTACCAGCAACTCCAGCATTAGCTCCTATTCCACCAATACCGTAACCAGCGCCGGCACCTAAGCCATTACCTCCGGCCGAAGCTACAGCGCCAGTATCGGAAAGACCGGCAGAAGCTTGGAAACCTCCCCAAGAGGCTGAAACAGAATCTCCGTCCCTTTTAAATTCACCTTGTGGAATAATTTCCTATAATACACAAATTAAATTTAGAATCGTTAAAATTTTTTACTCATCTATTATGATTAATTATGAGCAATAGCGTGTTTTCACATTTCCTTTTGCCTTGTCCTAAATATATATACAATTACATTCTATTGTTTTCAGCTCTCAGCAACTTAATAATTTATACATTCAGTATTACGAACGCCTTCATTATAATTCTTAACTCAATCCAATGACAACTCTACTTATGAAATTTATTTAATCAGTTAATTTAATAAGACATATGGATATTTTTTTAATATTTAATCTCCGTAACTCACTAAACCTAAATTGAACAATAAGTATGATTGACAGAGTCAAAAACAAAAAAACTATTATAAAATCCATTATATTCTAGCACTGATATTGTTTAATTATCTTGTACTCATACTTGTCTCTGGGCAGCGTTTTAACGTTTCGTAATCTTGTGTAATAACTGTTAATCTAATAATCATTTAATGTACATTTCTAACTAAGAATGCATGTAATCTTTGCTCCGAAAGAAAATCAAAATACTTAGAGTTCTAATAAAAAAGTATTATCAAATAAATAAAAATACGAACAAAATAAAATAAAAATTGACTTCATAAGAACAGAAGCAACTAAGGGGTATTCAAGAGTATTCTCACAGTTATGTCCGAAGGAAGCATAAGAAATTTATTTCTATCCACTACAACTATATTATATATTTATTATCATCAAGGGTAATTCTTACTACTATATTCCTCTTGAGCGCAATTTCAACAATACTCTAGGAGATACTTATTATATTTAATTTCCTCTTCCCTAAAATTATAATTGTACAATAATAAATCATAACTAGTTTTTCTAAAATTTTGAAGGAGCACATTTTAAAATTGAATTGCTAAACCTCTACAAGCCACTCCATTTGTGCCAACGATGATATTATCCCGTGAAAACACCCATAAAGAGATAGCTATGATGTACTTAATCTTTGTAAAATTTAGAAAATTAGGTTTATTAATAAATAAAAGTATTTTTCAGGGTAGGATAAAAAAGGTTTATCCTCCTCAGAAATTGTATTCTAGTTGTGCTTGTGTTTACAATATGGTTGATGTACAAGTAACTTAATAACGTTATTTGAAACCTCAAATAGCACGTTTAAAACATGACTTTAAGTACATTTTAATTATTTCTGTTTAGTTGTTCGACCGACGTGGTATACCATTATTGAAAACGCTATTAGATTATAACTAGCAAAAATTCGATCATTTATGTCTAACATTCATTGATAATATAAAATACAGGTATGGTAATTTTACATGAATACAAATTGCCCACATCAAAGAGGCGTCATGGAGTTGGCTATAAAATGGTTTTCGTTGTATACACAGGCAAATTTACTTTATTAAACTAATCCCGTTAATAATGTATGGAATTTCATTATCTAAATTACATCCGATCACTATTTCTTTTTATAAATTTTTTTAAAACGGTTTAACACATGGTATTACAATATTCCTTTAAAAGATAATTTGATCGTATCACATAATGTATCGTTTGACGAATATGTTATCAGTCAATCCTACATTTGCACCATATCGTTTTCAAATAAAAAAATAGACTTTAACATGTTTGCATTTAATTACCGCCGAATTATTAATAAATTCTTTTTAGATTTGAGTATATTAATAAATTCAGACAATCCGAGCTACAAAAATTAATTGTATAAATAGTGTGATAAATACAAATATAAAGAGTAAAATTGTCATTATTTTAAGGAAATTAAAAATCACAGTAAATTTTTTTTTAAAACACTGTCATTTATAAATGATTCCAAAAAACAACGCTTTGAGAAAATTGCAGTTTTTCTAACTTTAAATTTGAATCTTTAAATTGTCACTATGATTTCTTCAACTATGGATGCCTCAAACGTATTTAGTTTATTTTATTAAAAATATATATATAAAAAAAAAGCAAGCTATATGAACAGTACACATTTTATATCATACTTTTTCAAAATACTATCAAATAAAAAGAACCTTTGAATATTTAGTATGTATAATGTTGTAATAATAATAATAATAATAATATATTCAACATGAATCGTTTATACTTACATTACTTAATTCAACTACTTTGTCTGTCGGCGCAGCTAAAGTAACAGCCATGATGGCACAGAATGACAATGAAAAAATTATCAACTTATTCATATTGAATCTAAAATAATCAAAAAAAATCACAATTATACTATAGTTATACAAATACTTGTGAAAAATAGTAAAATAATAGATGCGGCGTGCAACTTACTTTTCTATTGTATACTTAAAAAGTTTTAAACACAAAAGTCTTTGGCGAAACTACTCGTTGTATGTTACACAACTAGGGTAATTTCGCGAAAAAAATTGCACCTTAATAAATTGTAATATCTACTGTACTGCTATGGGAGCAGTTTGCGTATATACTACCTGTAAGCGACTGACCGTAAAAACTGGAGAATAAAAATATTATTATACTTTATTATTTCCTTCTAGCGATGCGCACCGGAGGTACAAGGTCAATCGTGTTCTTTACTGCTATACCACCACCAAAGTTTCAAGCCTTTCTGGTTATTGAGGAAGAGAGGACTGCGGTGGAGGTGAAACCGGCTAGGACAATGCAGGAAATCGGTAGTCGTCATCGCTTTTACCATCTCTTTGACTTTGAAACAAAGGAGAAGAAAAACCTGATGATAGTTAATGCACTTAAATATGGTTATATGCAAAGAAAACTTAAAGTGGTCGAGGAAATTCCTTTGACGATTTTGCCCGAAGCGCAATAATAAAATAACAATAAAAAAAAAGATAGGCCATTAATATATTAGTAATAATATTATGACGCTTGGTAAATTATATTAAATTATAATTCACTGATTTCGAAATGATTTGTCGAGTTCGTTGACGAAATAAGAGAAATAATAGGAACACCATATGAGTGATACAACACATGTACGTCATGTTTCTAACATACCTTTCGCTTTTCCATCTCCAATTATATCAAGGTTCCTTGTTCTCACTCAGAGACTGATAGACAGCTAAAAAAATTAAGCTTCAGAACCTATGTCCTTTGCAATAAACAACGATTCCAAAATAAAACCACCGCGATGGCCTCACTGATCGTATCGTAACTTTGCGGTGAATACTGAAAATCTGCATTCAGAATAATAATAATTATTATTAATATTGTAACAACAGCAGTATTATGTTCAAATGGTGTTTTTAAAGTGTATTAACCGTTGTTTTATTTTTTGCGATGCGGATATGTCCTACACATATTTTATAACATGTGAGCGAAACTTTTAATACACGTTGTGTCTTCTTTTTATACGTTACCAGAATACTTATTACGGAAGAGTTCTTGCACATCTTTTCCATATAAATATTAATGATGTATACTCCAGGCAATTAAAGCTGTTCAATATCTCATATATACGACAACAAAGAGCTTAATATCGTTTTGCTATAGTATTGTTTCATATGGAAATATTGATGTGTAACAAATGAAATATATTCGCTTAGAATTAATTTAACTTAATTATAATTTTAAATAAAATCACATTTCATTATTTTTGTTTATATTTTTTATAGATAACTCTCGTATTTATTAAGTGTTACGTATTATGAAAAATTCTGCAGAAAATATATTTAAAAATTACATTAAACATTTTAACTAATTCTGTTCTAGTTAATAAATATATATGAGAATCAAAATTTAAATCCTACGTACGTAACTTTTATATAAATAATACACTATTACTAGAAAAATACATTAAAAAAAATTGATTAGCATGTTTACTCCTTGGAAAAAATTTTATTTAAATATTATTGTGTACATAAAAAGATGAATCGATATAACACTATGGATTTTTAAATAAAATACATTTTAATTTATTTCAAAAGCCAAACACTTTTTTTTTTTAGTAAGAGAAATCCAAAATTTTTAGCAGACTATGTGTACAAAGTCTATATATACATTAGATAAACGCAAGTTTACACTAAAAACAGTACAAATTTACATAAGAATAAAATTAATGTAAATCTATCCATTTTCATCATTACCATTAATATAAAATTATTAGTATTATTAAAACTAGTTTTCCTAAAGAATTTTTATCAGATTCTACACCCAATCAAGATATATCAAACATACAGTCTCCAGTGTTACTTGATTAAAGTACTATAGTACTGTTTCTATCATTTTCTAACAAAAACTATATGGTAACCTCTATTTTGTTTAATTAATTATAATTAACACTTATCATCTTTAATCGACAGTAAATTTTTTATTTTTAAAGTAAAATTAATTAGTAATACCCTTAGCTGGTTAAAAACCATTTGACGTGCACTTTACCATTTAGTAAATTTTTGAATATTAAATAATTTACTCGTCATACTATCTTAAAAAATTATTTCATTATTAACTAACTTGCGATCAACAAGAAATCACGTTTTGTCTGATATTTTCTGAAACTGTATAGTTATAATACTGAAACTACAATATATAATATAAAAAAAACCCTGCACAATGGGGACTTAGCATAGTTGGGTCCAGTATAGATTTAGTCTGACAGTGATTAAAATTACAAATTTTAAAATCGTTAATTTTCGAAATTTTTTTACTTAAAACTGCCATAACTTTCTTAAAAATGAACAAAACAATATAAATTTTTTTTATAGATTCTTGATGTATTTACCTATCATTTGGTATATTTTTTTAGAAATTTGACGCTTTACGTGCCTACAGGGGGGGATTTAAAATGACAACTTTTTCACAAAAAAATTACTTTTACACTTAACTTTTGAAAGTGTTCCGGAGTGTCTAACACTTTTATATATATCTTAAATTAAAGCTAATATAATGTACTTTATTATAGAAGAAAAAAATTTCACACTTTATTTTGTCTTCATGATGAAAATGGCTATTTTTGTGTGAAAATTCTCGATTTTATTTTTTACATTTTTAACTTTATAATGCTATAATTTATTGAAAAGTCTATGGATCAACACAATTTTTTTATGAGAAATAATATTTTTTAATAATCCCTATTTCATTCAGGATATTAATAAGAAAATATCAGATCATGTAGCTTTTGGAATAATCCACCAATTTTTTAAAATTAAACACTATCTAAAGATTTGCAACGAAGCGTTTTTTTTTTTTATAGTGATTTTAATCACTGTCAGATATCATTATACTTGATCCAACTATGCCACGTCACCACTGTGCCTCGATCCCTCTGTGCTGGGTTTTTATATTCTGATTACAAGTTTTATGATTTAAAAGTGTAATATATGAATAAATAGTTATTATAGCAATTAAATTTAGTATGAAATTGATATTTAAAAATTTAATATTGTATTTTTTACGGAGAATTTATAAAAAATTGTAAAGTAGTTATTACTTTTATGGTAAACGTATATAAAAATTGAAGGTCTCGATGCAATAAATTTATAAATAAATTTACAGTTCTACATGGAATTTTCATCAGAGACCAAATACTCTTTTACTTTTTTAAACCCAATTAAAGTACTTTTTTAAACCAATTTGTGCGGCGATTTCTGCAAATAGAGTTACGTCTAAGTAATAACAAAATCATTCTAATTAATATAACAAATATTTATGTTGTATGAATGATCAATAAATATATTTTAATTAAAAATAAGTTGAAAAAGTTCTACTTTCTATACACATTTTTAAGTTTTGAACACCCCCGTGTAAAGAGAAATTATTCGATTTAAAAAAAAGTATGTCACATAAAAGAAGTATACAAATTATCATAAAAAATTGTAATGATCCATACTTTTTTTAAAAAGTTATAGCATTATAAAGTTAAAAAAAACACATTTTAGTGAAATTAATGCCATCTCAGCTTCGCATTAAAGCTAAATTCTGTATGTTAACTTCACCTCAAACTCATTACACAAATACTTTTAAAAAAACAATGTTTTAATAATTTTTATTTTTATTCAATAAATTATTTTGATGAATATTGAATTTCAAGTTTCTTACGAGTTGTTGAATACATATTAATTTTTTTATTTAAACAAATTATGTAATTTCAAAAGTTACGCTTCTTGGGTATATTTTATATGAATAATCCAAAAATGTTAATTTTAACTGGTGTTAATTAGAAGTACTTATACATTAATCATACGTTAATTAATATTAAGTATACATTCAAATTTATAATATACAATAGCTTAAAATATCGACCTTGATGAACGTGCGCCATTATTGGTTTAAGATAGATGTTTTTAACATGAGTTTATGCCCCCAAGCCATAAAAATAAGATTAACTATATAATATGTCATCAAATTTTTTATTAATTGTATTATATTAGTCATTCATATTTATTTAAATAAAGATTATCCCAAATTTATTAAAATAATCATTATTGTAGAATTATATTTTGATCGATTTTCCCGAAAAAATATTACAGGAAATCTTACAAAAAAAAAATAATTAATACATAGTTGTTTATGGTTCATGATCTATTCAAATCAACAGTTTTCAGGACTTATTAAAAGCATCATACACTCAAGGTTTTTTATTTGTACCTAGTATAAATAATTGTTAAACATAATAATAAGAGTTCATATGATATTTCACGGGTATACTGCTTTTGCTAATAAATAACATTTACTAATTTAATAGTTTTGTTCATTCAACGTGTAGGTTGTTATAATCTCATAATTATCCATAGTTTTTATGCAGTCGACCTCGGTTAAGCTTTAAAAAATCTCAACGAGTAATGTATAGTCTTATCGTGGAAAAATAATTTACTTATTATATGATCTTTGATTTTGTTTGTTTTTCTATATGAAAACGCAAGCATTGTTTAATCTAATTTTACGGAGCTCAATAAATTACAGTTCAATACAATAATTGGAATAAAACCTAGGCGTTTAAATAAAAAAAAATTACAGTTGTAGTAGAAGATAAAGTTTATTAATTTTTTAAGATAAATTTATATTTACAAATTAAAACTTTTTTATACGAAGTAAAAAAACATATTTTATGTACACAATGTTTTTATTGTGGTAACTCGTTTTCGAATATTTAGCGAGGATAACATTTGGGTTAATATACAATTATATCACATTTTAATTATAAAAATAACACACGAGCTATTGTTGAAGTGCNTTTAATTATAAAAATAATACACGAGCTATTGTTGAAGTGTAATTATAACGAATTACTGTCAGGTCAGTAATCTGAATAATCACTTAGTCCTCGTCCCTGCGGTCTGTTTCGGTTGATATTAGGCCTTGGTCTGTTAACGTTATAATTAAAATAACTTTGTTGGAACGATGGCTTGTTGGACACAAACTGTGACGCCATTGGTCGTTGTTGTTGTTGATTGTAAAACTGTTGTATACGTTCTCGTGTTCGCCTGATAATGGGCCGAGTACTTTTGATTAATGAACCGACGGCATTTAGGGTACTTATAGGGATCTGTAAGAGTTAATTGAATAAAACACGACCTTTAAGTACTAAGATAAAATTAACATTACCATAAATATATTATCGACTACTTGGTCCCCTTCTGAAAGAGGTGGTAGTTGTCTTTTTACACGATTATTTAGAGGTTTTTGTAACAAGCCTACTTCTTTCTCGACCTACATGAACAATGATGAATCATAGGAATTGCCCATTGTAATACTACAATAACAAATAATTAACATACCGACGAGCTGTCGGACACAGCTATTAACACAGATATTGTCCACATAATCAAACCGAGACGATTTAATAAACTCTGGTTTCTCATAATTGATCTGTGTTTTACGGCTCCAAGGATAGACCACAATGTGATAAGACAACAGCCGTGAACAATATGTTGCTGAAGGATGATGCCTTAAAAATATTACACTTCATATATAATTATCTATTTGTTATATAATTTGTCATTTGTTGCATGATAACGTTTTGTTCGTGGGACGTGTGTCGCTGTAATGGGTCAAACATGTTCCAGGGTACGAGGAAAGTTTCTAATCGACTTCTTATGGCAAGAACGAATAAGGACGATAGCCGCATTAAATATTAATAACGATTATCTTATTTGGGCATTGTTGATTAGCGTAGGAAATATTATATAAATTAAAACATACAAATTTAATGAATAATTTCTTCGTGTTCGTGTCTAAGGTGACCCCAAATGATTTTCCATAGTTTTGTAAACAATGACTTTTTGTGCGAATTAAAAAAAAATCCAAAGTTATTTAAAATTTAAAAACATTATATTAAAATTACTCAAATTGATTAATTTTTATCTAGTTTTAGTTTTATTTCATTATTTTTATGTTCTATACCATACATATATAAGGGAATTATATAAATCGATTGAACTGTTATATTTAACTAATCTAAGTAGTTTTAAGACAACTTAAATTAATTTAGGTAGTTATACAAATATATAGTAAAATGACCACTTTTTCTCCATGATGATGACCAAAAAAACCCAAGTTGAAATCCAAAATTTTCAAAAGATCATTCAAGATAATAATGTATTGGATCTAATATCTAATTAAAACATTGATACGTTTAATTGTATTTCGAGTAAATCAAAATTTGTTTGATAAATACATTATTTTTGGTAAATCAAATTGTTTGCAAGTTTTTCATATCAAATCCCCTGCGATTTTTGTTGAAATCCATTAGTTTAATTACATTTATCAATTGAAAAATATAGTACTTATCCATCCCCAATCGAAATATTTCCTATTATATCTAAATGAATTTTTATTTTTAACCAGAAATGTAGCTGAATAGGTTTAATTTTCCATTCAAAACAATTTATGAACAGCTGAACAGGTTTTTTCAAATACTTTCATGCCCTCAGTTAAGAATATATTTTACGGGAATCGCCTAACGGTTTAGGATGACCTAACAATTAACCATTAAACGTTTTAAGTCGTAATTAGGCTTAATTGCCATTTAAAGAATTGCACGATTTGAATTGAAAACGACACCTATAAAATAACGTTATTAATAGTTCCCTACAAGCACGTCAGTAAAGAATAACTTGATGACTGGCAAATATGTTTCAATTAAATTTCTACTAGATTAATACTACTTAATGTAATAACAGGTATGTATAAAATCTTATTATCTCCGATGAAACAAACTCAAATCGAAAAGCCAGAATAATACGTCATATTATTTAGAGTTTAAAACTTTATTGCACTTACTTATATGGTCCAAAACACACTGCGGACAAAGGACTAATGATATAATCAGATTAATGAAAACAAGACATCCATTCGTTGAGACTAAGAATCTACTTTCGGACGATAATTTAGTATTGTGTTATGGCCGGGCGCAGTTTTTTACGTGACTGTAAGTGTGAAAGCAGGTTAGTATAACTGTTTATTTTCGCAGAAACACCTTAATAGCGTGGGTGCGATTTACTCCCTACTCGACTAGATTATCTTCCCGATGAGTACATTATCCTAACGAGCAATAATACGGTTATACATTATTATACAATAACTCAATATCAACATCTATATAGTAAATGAGGTTCGGTTGAGCAAATACAAGAGGCGGACCGGTTATCTTAATATCATGGAACTTGTAGGCAATCAATTTGCATTATAACAGATTCGGGGTTATTGCCTTCAAGAGGCAACTAATATTCGCAAAAACTGTTGTAATATTCGATGAAACTTAAAAATGTGTAGTTTATTTACTTACGGACAAATTCAAAGGACGAAGTTGGTAGGAGTTCTTGAGGCGACGACAACAATGCTACTAATGATGATGAGTTGATATGAAGTTATGTATCAAACACTAAGCTTGAAATATTATTGAAATGATTTTGTTGTCCTATTGTTAGCGGGTTTTGTAATAGACAATGGTAACGTGAATTGTATTTCAAGTATACATTAATACTTCAATATTAAAGAACGATGTCACGGACATTAAACGGACGATGGGTGTAAAGGTATGTGAGCACAGCCATAATCAGTTATATAAGGGTTTTGACGGCCAGTCACAATTATAATTAAACAACTATAATTTTTTACATAAATGGTGGTATGAGAAAAATCTATAATATATTTCCTTGTTTTGGGACAATGCGCAGAATCAAGATTTTTGTTATAAATTGTAATTATTTGTTATTTTATAACAATTATTACAACAGAGAAAATATATTTTCTCTGTTGCAAATAATAAAGCTTATATGCTTTATATTCAATACTTTTTTTAACATAAACATATATAAAAAAGACTGTCAATAAATATGTCATCGTAGAATTCAGAATCAACTCTTTAAATATAAAGAGTATACACCATTTTAAAATGGTGTATATTTATATAATTTATGTTGATAATTCATTTCAATATTGTACAAACTATCTTTAAAAAATATTAAAGTTTTAAGATATTTAAATGAAAATTTGTTGTTTTCTGAGTTTTCTATGGTTAGATTAGGTCATAAGGATGCATGGAATTAATTTTTTTAACAATTCACATCACTTAATTCTAAAATATTTTTACTTGATAAAATGAATGTCATATAAAAATTTTAAAACGTTTTAGGATAATAAAGAACGGTTATTAAGTAATAACAACAAATAAATATACAGCTGAGAAAAATATATTATGAAAATAAAAAGTCACTATATTTTACTAATATTTACAAATATTTTCATGGTACATTTGTGTTAGATATTAGATTATTTAATGGCCACCGGTTTACAAGTTTGACTAAAATGTTACTTATGTACACGAATGAAAATTACAGAATGTATTCTTTTTTACTAGTTAAAAGATGTATTTTTTATGTATACATGTAAAAATAGTGTTTCAATAAACTAATTGAGCTTTTCTTATTTAAAAATGAATCATTTTGTTATATAAAAAATGTACAATATAATTTGATTCAATTATGCAATCTATATATTATTGTTTAATCTAAAATAAGATATTTTTTTAAACGCATGAGTTAATCTACGGTATCTTTTTACACTGAATTAGTTTTTGTGCCGTTTCCTCTAGTAAAAATTTGAGAAGGTCTTAAGCTGTTAAGAACTGATTTGGTTAGTTCCTGGCGGAATTCTCTCACATTTTGACCAGTGTTCTAAAAAAAAAATATATATATATATTATATATATATTGGAAAAAGAAAAAGAATATTTTAGTATATTATTGTTTCTACTTATTTTTATTCCTATTCATTTTTGCCGTGAAATTTCAATTCTTGCAAAGTCATTAAAATAAGCTAATATCAATTTTATGTGACTATGGTTTAACAAATATTACTGAACCGTGTCAAAATATATTTTATTTAGATACTTTTAACCAAATAAAAATTAATAATTGCCGTAAATACACTGAGATTCGGTTTCGCAGGTTAAATTTACTATTACAATACAATACGGAATATAGTACATGTTGTTGGCGTTGTAAAATATACTTAGTGGAGTTTTTGTTACCAGAATCCTATTTCGAGTAAATGGGTATCCGATTGTAATTAGTACTGCCGTTGAAAATCTATATCTAACTTATTTAGAGAGAAGCTTTTTTTAATTCGATAATTTAATTTTAAAATATATTTAAGTATAAATACAATATATTCAAAATAATTTTGTAATATTATGTTTATAATATTATTATTAACTCATCAAGTAAATACTTACTCCTATGGCTGATCGGAGTTCTGAATCAAACAAACGTCTCAAACCTCTAAAATTACGACCTAGTAGCCTAGAGATAGCATTTTGAGAAGCTGTTGGGTTGGGTTTTGTCGAAGGAGTAGAACCCTAAAAAAAGTAAGAAATTTCAATACCACACTTTATAGGAAAAACTTCATTAGTTTTTACTTGTGCTGAGCCCATCATTTGTTGATCATCAGTTGACGGAGGTGGTTCAGCGGCTTGTCGTATGGTGTCACTGACAATTCGGCTAATGTTCCGGTAAGCCGTTGTTGTATCATTTATAGTCTAAAACACAATAGTTGTTATGAAGTTATTTAGAAAAAAAGTATCAACTTTATAAATTAAAAACCAGCACAGTGGTTTCGTGGCAGACGCGACAATGTTGGGGGGTAAAAATATAGATGATATTTGAAATAAATTAACATGAATATTTTCATGTTCCAAACGCTTTAATGCGAATATGTTAAATTTCTTAATTTGTACATTTTTAATTTTACAATTTCTATGGTCAACATTTCACTCTAATATTAAATGCTTGTTAAGTTATTTACTTAATTGATACTATCATTATTTTACTATGACGGACAATTTCACATAGTAGAACAATCGTCAAGACAAATTTTTTCACCATAAGGTACTTTTAAGAATCATTAATTTGATGTGGGTTAGATGTTCTCAGACCTTCCGGAACGTTTTCAAAAATCGAGTTGAAATAAAATTGACTTACCTAAGAGAGGTCTACTTCAATCCCTTTCTGTATTTAGGTTTTTCATCGAATTTTTAAAAGAGCATATCATAAAATCATTATTTTCTCAGCTTTGTATCGAAGCTAATGAAAAAAATACCGCGTTCTTGTAATTAAATAATAACAGGATATTATAATAATGTACAAATTTTGTTAACTATGTATCAATTACATGTAATTTTTTTGTAGAATAGTTACATGTTTTTAACATAACTCATCCTACCATTACACCATCGCTGTCAAAGTTATTCATGTAATACAAATATTTAAAATATTAATAAGAATTCATTAAAAATAAACGTTACCTAAATGCACCGGGTAATAAGTACTTACTTGTTTTAAGAAAATAATATTTATAATTATGCTAAATTCTATATAATTATTTATTTTTAACATATATGTTTACACTAAAATTCAAAGAATTTTGTTTTTAATTCAAATCGATTGTTTATAATTACCTTATAACCTATTATACCTATTGGTTAAAATGATAATATGCATTAATATTATGTTATGAAAATGTATTAATTTTATTTTTAAATTTAAAAAAGTTAATTTCTTAATTAAAAGTTTAATAAGACAAAATTAATATGATGAAATAATGTAAATATGAGGAAACTTTAACATGATGTAACAAAATATTTTTAAACATAACTACAACATTATATTTCATATATCACGAATAGAATGATCAATGAATGTTTTAGTTCGACATAATTAATTATTATTTTATAGATCCTCTAGATTATTTTCCAAAAGTTTAGATTAAAATAGATATATAGAACTCATCACATCATTAAAAAGTATAGCTACAATTTCAACGTCGTTAGAATCATTAAATCATTTTTACCACATTGATAGAAATATTATAGTTGGACCTAATGAATGTACTGTTTTTTATGACTTTTAAATGTTTTAAATTCCATTGGACGTATTTTTATACTATTCCGAGAATCTATCTTCTCAACAAAATGTTACATAAAAAGCGTATTAAGTAACTTTTTATATGAGTAATAAGTGTAACTTTTATGGCGTTATACTGCATAATTAGCTATAATAATACTTCTTTATTTAAGGCTAATAAAAAAAAAAAAAATACTGCATAACTATTCATTTGATAAATGGTAAATTTAAGTTAAATTACCCGCCGAACTCTAAGATTTAAATTAACTCTTATTTCAGATAGGCATGAATAAGTAATTTTTTATTAATTGCTTGGTATTTTTGTAATTATTATAATTTTTCTTATCTTGATTAATAATGCAGTGAATGTCGTTGTACTTGTCCTTAATATTATTACCTAATTCCAGCGAAAGATAAAATCACGATAGAATAAAAACTCAATAAAACTAATTAAACCAAGAATATCACTAAAAATATTTCTATTAAATTATATTTAATTAAGTTGTAAACATTAAATCGGCTAATTAGATATTAGCCGATCAACACTACAAATACATCATAAAAAGTTGTTTTTGTAAACTAATGTGCAATGATTTATTTTAATTGCACAAAAATTGTTTTTAATATCAAGTATGTTCTTAGTGCTTAAAATCGGAAAAAAACAAGAAATATTATACAAACCCAAAAATAACAAAATTTCACTATTTCTAAATTTTTTAATGTCTTATAAGTTTCTTTTAATTTACAAATATTTCATTTATGTGAGCATTTTAACTACAGTATAATTTTAATAATAACGTTATTTACGGTTTTATAACATTTTAAACAAATTATAATTATAAGGGCTTATAACTTATATTACAAAAAGTGTAATATAAAGCGATCATTAAAATAAAATAAATAGAAAATTGCAATATTTGTTTGTATTAAATCGTAGAATAATAGTTAAGATAAGCCAATTTTGATTTCAGACTACAGTGTACCGTAGTCGAAAGTATACTAAAGTTATGTGATTTTATTTTGTAACAATAGTTGTAAAAAAATTATATCTCTTGACCTGACTGAAACTTTTCCTTATTTCGATACTGAAATAGCAATAAAAACATAAAAAAAAAACACTTAAACTCAAAATATTTGAATTCTTATTAAAATCGTATAAAGATTAATTAGTTTCTTAAACAAATGTATAGTTTACGTAAGACCTTTAAAAAAAAATACAAATGCCTGATATTATAAACTCTGATTATTGTACTGAATTTAATTTATATTAGTATAGCTTATAACCAATTTTAAATGCTACTTTGTATAAAAAAAATTAATACTTTTTGTAGGATTTAAAGTGAGTAAAATTTAAGTTTTTTATCAAGTGTTTTGCTACGATTTTCTATCATTCATTATAAATATGTTATATTTTAATGAAGATCTAAACTATCAAAACTATGAAAGATGTGGCTAATCAAGTTATTTATGATGTCTAGACTTTTTTTCGGTAATCAAGACATTAGACCTGTAATTACTTGATCCATTTTTTACTACATACGTAACAATGATTTCACAACTTATTTAAATGACGTGTTATAACATGTGATTAGTTTTAACTGTAGATGGATTTGCTAACGTTGACGCGAAGTTATGCGTTACAGAATCTTGAAACTAATTAATGATGCTTAAAAATTATAATAAAACTCGAGATTATTAATTGCTTTAAATTAAAATTAAACGGACGCAATAGCTACTTATCTCAATTTGAATATACCAATGGAATATGATTTATTTAGTCTAATCCATGTTATTAATAAAAATTTAGTAAATAATTATGTAAAGTGACATTAATATTATACTCACGTTTTAAAATTTTATGTTTTATATAGTTTGTTTTGTGTAATATAATAATAACTTGAAATTTTATTTAAAATGTGTTAAATCAAAATATATTATTTTCGCTATCTGTCTTAATCGAATGGAAATAATATATCACTTATAATTCTCTAAAATTTCATAAGTTTTAGTCATAATTTCAATTTTAGTTAAATTAAAATATGAAATAAGTTAAATTATTTTAATAAAATATAACAGATGATATTTCATAAACAATTATTCTATACCACATAGTTTAACTTAAAAATAACGAAATTTCTTTATTAATAAATGTTTTGTTTATCATCTTCACTAAAGCTGTTGGTTGTGCAACAAAGAATAAGGAAATCCTAAAAAGTCCAGCGCAACGGAATGGAACCATAGTACTTAAATCCGAGTCACAACACGTTACCGACTGCGCTTTTTATTCAATATAGAGTCAAGTAAATTCTGTTAACGAATAAATTATTTTTTCATGAAAGAATATCAAATGTGTATAGATCATGAATAAAAATTCTAAATAAAACACTGAGAGTTAATTAAAATAAATTTACATGATTACTTACATCGCGCACTAATATGAAAGATAACGTCAATAGACCTGGAGATTGATCTCTGCCGTTGGCCTTCTTACGAAACGATTGTCTCCGCTGTCTGTTGGTCTTCTCCAAAGCTCTTTGTTTATCAACTAGTTCTCGGTGTTTTTTGGGACTGTTACCTTCTACAGGTAAATGTTTTTCAACATAACTCTGTTGTTGATAAGCCAAATAATCGGAACTACTGATAGTAGAAGTCCTTCGGTTAACTATGGTAATTTCAGTTGGTGTAGCGGATGGCGTTGTAGAAGTAGCTTTCGAGGTGACATTTTCCGTGGAAACACTAGTTGAAGCAACAACCAAAAAAATCGCTAAATATGTAGTATATGTGATAATTGTACTAGAAGATCTTTTGGTTGACCCGTCAAATAGCAACAGTGTCATTTCTTAGTCGCCGTAACACTAAAATAAAAATATTTGTATAAGAAATTTAAGACAAAACGTGACACAGTACTTAATTTGCAATGTAGGCGTAGTTGTATTTTACGGATTATTTACGTAATCTAATTAGAACAAGTCCAATCAAATTAATAATAGAGCTTAAGTACGTTCTACAAAAATAACACTTCCGGCGGAAATGCTGTAACTTTAATTTACTCGTGTATTGTGAAGTATCAAATAAAAAACGCCATCATTTCAGAGCGCGTGAACGGTTTTACTTAAAAATAACATACTATAATGATGAATGGCGGACTTCTCGTCTAATTTAATTTTTAAATGTAAAACATTATTAAGTAAAATTACTGCAGATTAATTAGTAAATTGAAACTAGGAAACTGCATAATGCATGTTTAGAAACCTTTTTTTTTACAACAACAATAGTTAATAGAAACGCTCAGCAATGTATGAACTTTGTAGAATATTAATTTCAACGCACAAGATCATGCATTCAAAAAATCGTTTCAATTATTTTTTTTTTAGTTTGCTCCTGTGCTTTTGATATTCTATACTGGAGATAACTTAAAACATATTATTTTTCATATTATTTTACATATTATACAATAAAACATTTGACTTTGATATCGTGGAAGCAATCAATACACATATGTTATATAAAATATAATTTTAATCGTTAATTGTACTGTTTTTAAAAACATTTTCTTTGTAGGAAGTAGTGACTTTTTTTTACTCAAAGCGTTCTCTCCCTTAGAATTTGAAGCCCGTTTATAATTTAATTTTACAAATTGGAAATATAACAAAAGATAGGGACTGTTTACCGAAGCTATTTGAATTTTGCTCCAACTCTAAAAGTTCTGTATGTTTTAGTTCTAATACTTTTTAAGACTACCGGGAACTTCAACGCGTTAAATAGACGACAGATCATAGTAGAATTATATTGTCACTGTCAAATTGTAATTACAAAGTAGTTTTTAATTATTATGAAATCAAATGTTGAAGTAATGTCAATGACTAACATGTTACATCATGGACCGACGATCCTTGGTTGTAAACGCATGTAAATTATATTACAAGGTTAAGCTTCAAACAGTCCTAATTAAGTTGAATGTCCGCGATTAATACATTAACACCGTAGGGACATAATCATAAACAATGAGTTTTCCTATGAACTTAATCCATACTGGAAAAGTGTCACCTAATGAATGACAACGACGTTTAATCAATCGTCATTGAAAATCATATTTTACAAATATTTGAACTCCGATCGTGTTCGCCGTTTGTACTTTCACTTTTTATTGTGGTTCTTGTTTGTTAATACTAATATAGTAAGGTAGCTGATGTAATATTACGATTTTTACACGAAAACTAGTATAACTATAATATGTATTTTATAACAGTAATATTTACCGGCGTCACGAACGTTCCGCTTAACTATTACACGATCCCTTGAAGTTATTATTTAATTGTCAATGACAGCGGTTATTCGCCGATACCATTTAATACGATATGAAACAAGTCAATTACTATTGTTATCGATTTACGAAAGACTATTGTCATATCAAATGGATCACTTCAATAGAACGGTTTATTCGACGAACCGACCGTATATTTTAATTACACACTCCGACTGTAATTAGAAACCCCCGAGGAAGGGCACCACCAAAAGACACCGCCAGTGACACAGTTTAATCCAAAGATAGGTAAAAACAGTTTTCACCAATGGTTACACTTACCTTAATTCTGGTTATCCAAGTTCGATCGCATTGACAATCGGTTATGCCGAGATCATCGCTTCAAGTTGGCGCGGCCGCGCCCCTTTAGGGAGGTTGCATTGTCACAATACGAACAGGCGACTCAAGTGTAACCGATGAAACGTGTGTTTAAAAATAGATGTCCGAGCACTCGGCCTCCACGCAATGCAGTCTAAAGATAACTAGATTGATACTGAACAATCGTTTTCACACTGTGCGTCAACCAAAAATGAAAAAAGACCGATTATTTTTCAAACTCGCTGGAGGGAACGTAACGGAGCGCAAACGGACAGCCGTTACGAGTAACTAGTAGGGAGGCAACACACGTGGTGGGAAAGCACATACACGTACACAACCACGCGCCTGCACTTACCGCAGTATTATGCTGTATACATTATTATATTATTACCAGAATTATTATACAACAAGGTGGCGGCGTGCACCACTGTGCTCTCATACATTCTCCGTACGCATCATGATCCGAGTGACCGATTGATGATGCGTTTGTACGCACGAGACTTGCACCATCTGTTGAGCAACGTCCGTCTGAGAAGAATGAAGCACACACGTTTTGTCAGCGCATCCGATGACCGCGTTGTCATCAAAATTGCCAATGGCACCTGTGTCGTTAAGACATTAGCATAATTCGTGACCCAGTTACCCGTTGAATCCGAGGTTATTGGAAAGTAACATAACCCGAGTATCATAGGGTAATTAAACAAGTACCGAGTACTAAGAGTTTTGTAAGAACTGGGTTAGTGGTTGTGGGGAATTGGATTCCAATTTTTGCGGAATAACCCGTAAAAATTCAACAAATAAATCAACTAGTACTGTGTTTACACAATGTGACAAAACGATGAAACAGCACTTTTGACACAAACAACACATGTGTACGATTTCGTCAACTTAATGCAATTATTTTATGATGAATCACTAAATTTCATTTTAGCATAAATTTCTGTGTTTCAGCGTTATGTAATTAAAAGATAAAATTATTACTTCACTTTGTAAATGATTTTTGACTAATCAGAATTTTTGTTTTTAATCATTATTATTCCATGTATTTTAAACTTTTTTTTTTTAAACAACTCAAAATTATTAAAATAATAATAATAATACTTGGTTAAAAGAAAACTTTTTTTCAAGTATTCCACTAGGTTTTATTTAGCTGTCTTTTACCAATAAATATGTTTTGTAATTGAAGCCTGGTCGGTAATTACACACTATCTATGAAACAATTTTTAAATTTTAGATTATCAAAGAACACAATTGTGCCTATTGTATGAACGATGAACTTTTCAAAAATATATCGAGATTTTTCTCGATATATTAATAATAAATCACAGGAATATGTGTAATCAGTAATACGAGATTTTTGGGATAACTACATGACAAGTCTGTTGGCCAATAATCAATAACAATAGCCAATAGCCCTGATAAAAAGTAATTAATCACATTGAATATTAAAACAATTTTATCATTATACTATATAAAAATAGCGCCTGCCTGCTATTAAAATATGTTGCTTATAGTAACGAGCACAGAAAACCTAAAAAAATAATCACCTTATTCAAAAAATATATTACAAATATAATTTATTTTATTTTTTATAAAAATCAAACTTTCGTTTTTATTTCAAATTAAAAATGAATAGAAAATTATTTTAAATTCTTTCAATATCTANTTTTAGATTATCAAAGAACACAATTGTGCCTATTGTATGAACGATGAACTTTTCAAAAATATATCGAGATTTTTCTCGATATAGTAATAATAAATCACAGGAATATGTGTAATGAGTAATACGAGATTTTTGGGATAACTACGTGACAACAGTCTGTTGGCCAATAACCCTAATAAAAAGTAATTAATCACATTGAATATTAAAACAATTTTATCATTATACTATTTAAAAATAGCGCCTGCCTGCTATTAAAATATGTTGCTTATAGTAACGAGCACAGAAAACCTAAAAAAATAATCGCCTTATTCAAAAAATATATTACAAATATAATTTATTTTATTTTTTATAAAAATCAAATTTTCGTTTTTATTTCAAATTAAAAATTAATAGAAAATTATTTTAGATTCTTTCAATATCTTGACGTATTTCTCTGTCTGGCTCTATTCCTTCGATTTCTATTTCCATTGCCATTATTGGATTTTGATTGCTGTGACGATTGATTTTGTGGTGATTTTTGAGCTTGAGCATTTGGTTGTGCATCATTTAATGAGGGACTTTCAGACACAAGAGACGACGTATCACTAAACAATAACGATAAATATTTAAATTATTAAATACATAATATGCTATAAGAATATTTATTTATATTATTCAATATAATTAAAGACTTCCTAACTACAATTTACGTTATCAAATAATTTAATATTTATCAACCAGTAAAATTATAATTAGCTGTGGCAAAAAAGTGTTTAATTTTATCTTCGTCTTGTAGATGAGAAAATATTAGTTTTACTCTGCTGTGTTTTCTGTCTCTCCATAAAAATACTCTGCTCCTACAGAACCAATTGAAAATCTCAATTTCAAGGAGTTACTGAACTTTAATAAAAAAATTATACAATATTTAGTAAAAACGGATGGTTTTATAGTTTATTTACATCGTAACATAGTACTTGCATCATTCTAAATTATTTTGAATTAAAGCTTATTTAATGTGCCATAAAATTTAACTTTTAAGTTAAAAATCACACAATTTTTGGTAAATATGATACATTTTTTGTTAATTTGTTTCTTAAAACGCATCAAAGCGTTTTACTATAACACAGTGATTTTAATTACTGCCAAATGTCAATACTAATCTAAAAAAATGTTTCAACTTCATTACGCTATATCTTAAGTTAATTTTTTATTTTGTGATTTTTGTGAAAATATAGAATGTTAAAAAAAAGTTCCAAGATAAAAATATAATAACCGTCTTTTCTATTTAACATTTACAAAAAGTATTATAATAATGTAATGATTTTTATTAGTATTGTTGACTTAAATAATAAAAAACCGTTAAAGTCAATTGTGTCTTGTATTTATATATGTTTAAAGATATTTTACATAACAAAATAGTTTTAGCAATAAAAATAGTTTAAGAGGAATGAAAATTGATTTTTTACTCATCAAAACAAATAATGTAAAGTAATATTATGCATTGTTGTGTGCACAACGTTTACTTATGAGTTTAAAGTATTTTTTTTTACAATTAATTCTTTTTTCTATTTTATTGCCATAATAAATATATATATATTTATTTATTTTTTCATTAAAAAAGCTATTTTCATAAAACCAGTTTAATCTAATAGAAATTAAATATGAAATCAATCTAAACATTCATACATACAAATGTTTAAAGCATTCCTATATGTAAGTATTTTGTCTTATATCACCTTCACTATGATGCATCATTACATAAAAAACTACAAATGATAATACCTAAACACAAAACTATACAATGAAACACACACAATTTTATGTGCGATTTGACGCAATCAAAAATATGCTCCCATCAACTGAAAGTCAAGAAATAGTCTAAGTTAAAACTATAATTCTTTAATTGTGAATAATTATAAACTTACGTAGATTAAGCAAATGAACCACTCCCTTTTCATGTTACTTACGTCATAAATTTTATTTAATCAATTTACTCCTCATTGTACATAAATTTTGCATATTTTGTGAATATTATCTTCATAAAAATAAAATACATGTTTATTGATAGGATTAATATAGTAAATTAAAAAAGAAGGAAAAATTGTCTAGTGAACATTTTATAAAAATAAAATAAATTTAGGAATTCAATTACTATGAAATTGATCACTGGCATAATAAAATATTTTATTTAGTATGACTTTATTTATATTAATTTTTCATATTTTCATTATTTCAAATTTCTATCGTTCTAGACGTTGTTTTGTTTTATTTATTATTTAAGTAATATTTAACTGAAAATGTATAAAACTTTTTTCGAAGATTATTTTTATTATTGTTTACTCTTTAGTTGAAAATATTGAATAAATAAGACAGTTGTTGCTTATCAATAATTATTTGTTCTCAATAAGATAAATTTTTTAAGTTATAAAAAATACATTTTTATTTAACTGTAATAAAATAAAAGATTATTCAAAACACAAACAAGAAATTCAAACATACTCAGAGGCTGGACACGGTTTTGAAATACAATTTCCATTGATTGTTTCTTGTACTTTTATCTGTAATATTTCTTTGACAAACTGTTGGTCAGTCTTGTGTAAGTTTTCATCACTGCAGTGACTGGTTTTTTCTAATGCTTCATGGTGTCCATCTCGTTCTTCCAATTTATCTTTGAGCTGCTCCGTTAATGCATGCCATTGTGTAAGTTGTTTTGCATGTCTCTCTTTTTCTACGGCTAGCCTTTGTCCATGTTCCATTATTAGCTGCGCTTCTCTTTGCCTGATAAATTATTCATTTAAAAAGGTATTGTAGAATTAAATATACATCCCTGTTTTACGAAAATAAAAACTCACTTGATCATTGATTGCCAATGTTTGTCCAATCGTGAAGCCTGTTCTTCTAGTAATTTGGCTATCATCTCATCGTTGTTATTGTTTTGAGTTTGATTTTCAAGTTCTGATTTCATAATGGATATATATATTTTACAATTACATAGAATCATTTAAAAATTTTACCTTTCTTTTCCTTCAACTTGATTTCAGCAGCTTCTTTTATTTTCTGTTCGGAAGCTATGCGTTCCGTCTCTTTGGCTTTCCATGCCTCTAGCTGTGTAACTCTTTGCTTTGCTTCACTAACTTTAATTTGAGATTCACTTATTCTACGCTCGAATTCCTCTATGACTTTATTTTTAGATTCAGCTGCTAGTTTGGAAGTTTCTTGTAATTTAACTTCCAATTCATTGACATGATGTTCTGCTTTACTCCATCGCAATGCCAAATTCTCAAGTTTTGACTCAGCTTCTTTGGCTCTACGTTCAGCATCAACCAATTTTAGTCGACTCTCATTAGCTTTACGTTCTGCTTCATTAACATTATTCTGAGCTTCGTTTAATCGTGCTTCAAATTTTAGATTGTTATCTTGCATTTCTTTTTCCAATGCTGCTACTTTTAAATCACATTCTTGATGTAGACGTTCTATATATGATAAAATCGACAATAATTAAAATAAGCAGGCGAAATTGAATTCAAGATTAATAGTTATTTTTACCTAATGTACGATCGTGCTCTGTTTGTTGAGAATCTAATCGTTCTATATACCACATGTCCAACTTATCAAACCGCCGTCGTGTATCCACTGCCTCTATGTCACATTGCGTACGTAGCTGATCAATTTCTATCTTATGTTTCTTCTTTTCTTCTTCCAATCGATGGTTTGCTTCAAGATGAGCCTCTTTCAAATTCTTCTCGCCCTCAGAAATTGCAGTTGCCAACTGATCCCTGGTAGTCTCTAAAAGTTGTTTCTTTCTATTTAATTGAATTTCTTTTGTATCTATTTGTGTTTGATACTTTTCGATTAACTGAAAATAATATATAAGTTGCATAATAATTTGTTAAAATCAATCAACATTTTGGCAATTTTTAGTTTTTTGTACATTTTAATTCTACATTCTTAACATTATATCAAATGGTTTTAATTTGAACTATCAACCCAATCAGTACAGTTGTACATAGAAGAGACAAGTATACATTTAAATTTAACTGTTATAACTGTAACTATTATAAAACATGTCTATGCAAATGTGTAGAAAGAAAATTTCAAAAAAACGTTTTTTTTTTTTGTGGGGAGAAATGAGATTAACACTTCCATTTTTTCCTAATACACCTATGAAACATCTACTAAATTATAAAAAGATCTTCATACAAAAATTTGGTAAAACAATTCTAGTAAATTTTCTAAATTTGTAATTTTTATACAAAAATTTAACTTTTATAAATGCGCGTTACTTCAACACACATTTATATATAGAACATAAGTCCAGAAGTCAATTTTAATTTCAAAATAAAATATATTGAGTATAATACGACTAATAATATATTCTTACGGCTTCTAATTCCTCTCTCCTCATAACATGATTTAATGATCCAAACCATCTAAGTCTATTTTTTCTCATCATGTCCATAAATGATGCTACACCTATACTGCCCCTTATATGTTCGTTCCTTATTCTATCTCTCTAGTCACTCTATTTATCCATCTATCTAAGCATTCTCTTCACTGGTAAACTCATTCTCTATTCTATTTTCTTGTCAACTACCCAACACTGTGAACCATACATCATAGTTGATTTCAATAGTCTTTTAAAACTTACCTTTCAGCCTAATTAAAATTTTCTTATCGCATAACACACAAGAAGCTTCTCTCCATATTACCCATTCACACTTAATCCTGTGACTTATATCCTCGTCAATACCACCGCTCTTTTGCACAGCTGATTCTAAATACTTACAAATTTAAATTATAGTAATATGCAGTTGAAATTAAAAATGAAAATTCAACCCATTTACAAAAAATTTGTATGATTTTGAAAATACGATAGACGTCTGTACTACAAAGATATGTTCCAGAGGCCAATGATTATTTTTTAAATAAATTTTTTCTATTAAAAATAAATTATGTTACTGAAGCCTTAAATTAAGACCTTTTTGTAAGTTTATAATTCCTCATGAGTATTAAAAGAAGTTATGAAAATTTGCGTGGTGTCGCTAACAGCTTATAAAGTATCGGCTATTATTTTATTCATTTTAATTATACTGCATTTTCCAATAATTGAAAAATTATTAAAAGAACTTCAGTCATGACTTTTAATATATAAATAAAAACTTGTATTATATATAAGGGCAATAACAGTGAACAATTTTTAGTATTTTATACATGAATAATAATTAAAATGAAATGATAAAAAGTGATACTTAAAATAATCAATTCTCAAAAATTAAATTTTTTGATTGGACGTCCTTTTAACAAATTTACAAAAAAATTATAAATAAAATTTATTTAAATAATGAAAACAATTTTACCCTGACTTCGATTTGCGCAATCTCATCTTTTAACTTTTGTTTAAATTTGAGTTCATTTTCATTAAGTTCTCTGACATGAATTCCCTGAAAAGAATTTATTTGAAAAGTTATATTGTGCAGAGGAAGTCAGTTTTTAGGTTGACACTTTTTTTTACTTGCACTGTAGCTAAATTTGTTTTCACTTTTTCTAAATCTTTTTTTAGTGTTTCTATTTGACTTGCCCATTCTTTCTCATCTGCTTTCCACTGTCGGCGAATCGCTCGTTCCGCTTGTTCTACTCTGGAATCAAAATCTGCTTTCATTTCTTCGGTCTATATTGAACAAAATAAAATAAAATTAATAAATATTTTAGTATACTAAACTAATATAACTATAATTATACATCTATGATTACATTACAAAATAAATTTTATTAAAAATCATTATATGTTAGCTATTTTTTATAGAAATTATAAATTACATAAAATGCTAATTTTAATTTAATAAATTCTTAAAATAATCAACGATTTAACGAAATAAATGAAATTCTAATGAATTGAATACAAAATTTACATTCATTAAAATAAGATCTAACATAAATTTTATTATTGACAAAAATGTAGTAATTCAAGTCGGAGAATGTCCATATTTTTAGTACATTCAGATTTTGGCAGACATAAGAATCCTAAAACTACGTTCCGATCATTACATTATGTAGGAAATCGTTAAAAATTCTCTTTATTTTTGTAGTATTTCATTTAACTATATTTAGTAAATTAATTAGATTAATTAGANAATCGTTAAAAATTCTCTTTATTTTTGTAGTATTTCATTTAACTATATTTAGTAAATTAATTAGATTAACTAAACTTTTTAAATGATTTTTTTTTTTTTTAAATGCAATAATATAAATATTTTTCTGCGTTCAATATCATCATTATTTTTTATGAAATATTGAATTATTAGATAACATAACATAATATTTAATATTTATTAAATACTAGTTTAAAAAAATAAAAGTAACCGTCTAATATTATTCCCATATACATTGTCACGTAATATGTCATAATATCATCAACATTATGATGACACTACTAATAACGATACGGATTTTTCAGTATGCACTTTGTAGGATTAACTTTTGATAAAGGCTATTAGTACCAAAATTGGAAGCCAACTTAGCTAAGTCACGAACACGTCGAATTTCGGTGCGTAGGTACCGATGTTCGATTCCGTTACACTAAGCTGTCTAGATTTTCTCGTGCTCTTTAACAAAATCAAAGCTTATTAAGGATGACATTAAAAGTAAATTAATAATAATAATACAGATTAGTTAAACTTTCAAATTAATTTTTTAATTTAATTTCTTGGGGCTTGTTTACATATCCATTATATTATTAAAAAACTAATTTCAACACTAACCTATTTAAAAATTTGTACAGAAAAATTAATTATTGTACAATTTTTATTTTTTAAATAGAATTAAGAAACCTGTTTTACAAGATTACCTTGAAAATTATTACCAATATACATAAATTGCTAACCATAACGGTAATATCAAGTTTTTATATTAAAATTAGGTTTCAAATTTGAAAAAACATTTTTTAGTTAAGTTATACAAATCTTGATCGGATAATAAGTAAAATGAGATAAATTCAAAATTTTGGTATAAATTAATTATAAAAGCATTTTTTAATATTAGTTTTTAATCAAAAACATTATTTTAAAGAAGATTAATTTTTTTTTTAACTTTTAAAATTAAAGTCAAAAATTTTTTAATATCTTAAAAACTTTCATTTTACATTAAAAGGGGCAAATAATGTTACAAGCTTCAATGCTTAGCTGAGAAGCTATTGGTTTTACTCTGTCGTACTTTTTTTTTTTTTTTTGTGCCTGCACATAAAAAAAAATCTGCTACTACTGTACCAAAATTTCAAAAATTAAAATATTACAAATCGTATCAAGTTGGATAAATCTGTTCAATACCATTGGAAAAAATGAAGTTGACACCCAGATAAGGTATCAGGAATAAATATAAAAAAATTCCCCATTATTGATATATTGAAAAAAAAATGTATACCTTAAAGAAAAAATTATTAATATTATTCTTATTCATGGAGTAATTAAATGGTTAATTATTATTGTTATTATTATGATTATTACTTTTTTGCTGTCATCATAATTACAATTTATACACCAAAAAATTATAAAATACAACACAGGACAACTTCTCGGTAAAAAATATGGTTCATGATAAAAGAATGCTTTGCACAGCATAAATTAAAACTCTGAATCCAAACATTCCAATTAATCGACTCCCGTTTACTATTCATTATTATTTCATTGAGTTTTTCACAATAAAAGTTGTTGACTTTTTCATGAAATTTATGTTACAGAATCTGATTTTGTATAATTTGGATTTAAACTCCTAGTAAAAGTATTTATAACAGTCATACTAACTTTTTGCTTAAACTGCGATTCGGCATTTTCCATACGTGTTCGTAATGCTAAGTCATGGTTTTCTGACTGTTCCCTGAGAGCTTGTTGAGTTTCCTGCAGTCGTTGCTGCGCTGCTTCTAATGTAGAACTCATTTCATACATTTTAGCCGCTTCTTCAGTCAATTTTGCTATTTCTGAAGCTGCAGAAACTTTTGTACTCTCTAACTCAGCTTCTTTTAACCTTAAACGAGATTCTGCTTCATCTGCTCGTAATTGAGCTTCAGCCACCGCTTTATCAGCTTCTTCTTCAGCCACTCTTCGGATTTCCATTTCTAATTTATTCTTCTCATCATTTTTAGTCTTAAGCATTTCGTCCATTTTGTTTTTCCATGTTTGCTCTACTTGTCGAAGTTTCCACTCAAAATCATTAAGTAAACGCTCTGTATCGGCCGCATGTTTTGCTCGTAAATCTTCCAATAGTTTCTACATGAAGAAATAATACAAAATTTAATAATAATTTTGTTTAAAAAAAAAAAATCTTTTAACAAATAATAATAATTTTTTTTTTCAAAGTATATTCTGGCAATTTTATGTGTAAGTTTTAAAATTTAAAAAACAATGTTGAAATATATGATAAATTTAAAATTGTCTTGCAAATGTCCTGCAAACACTTAAGTTTTCTATCAAAGTATTACCATAGATGCTGCTACATTGTCGTCTTCGATTTTGTTTGGTAGATCTAATGATTTATAGTTATCATCTTCACTTTCTGAATGTGAATCACTATTGAGTTGTGTCGGTTCATTATCTTCTAGCTGTTGTAAATCTATAAATAAGTAATCATCAAGACAATACACCCTAAATATTCTACCCACTCACCATCTGATTCTTCAGCGTCATCTCGTGCCCTATGCATTACAACGTCCGGTTGATTTGAATATGTTATTTTCAATATTCTTGTCACTGCTGATGAGCCTGATGATGATGATGATGAATCAGATGATGGGGACCTTGGTCGACTGTGATCCTCTTCTTCTTTTTCTGTATCCGGCAGATTTTGGTCATTGAGCAATGGTTCTTTCATGTGATTGTTGAGATCGTCTATTTTCGAAATGAAATTCGGAGCTTCCGATATTACTGAGTTTCGATTTTCATTGCCGGATGTCTCAGCCACCGACTTATTAGCAACAGTCGCTCGTGAGTTCTGTCTAAAAAAATATTGATGTATAATCACTATGATTACAGTTATAGATGACTCAAACGTAGAGTACTGAAGCTATGCTATTAAAAATAGACGCCCTTTTTTTTTTACTCAAACTGATCGCAATTGAAAATTGACCCAGAGGTGACGGTTTTTGGCACAAGACCGTCGACAGCGGTCTCTATCCATTATTATAATTAGATAGTATTATTGTTTATCAATAGCTGACATCAAAGTTATTGTAATTAAATTAAGTAAAAGGTAACAAAATACGTTTAAATTACTTGCGAAAATATGAAGTTGCCACGAATGTCAAAAACATTGCAATCGGAGGAAATAGTACACCACACCAAGACATTTTAGTAGCCTACAGCTAGAACCACAATGGTTACAAACAATAAATATTTAAAATATTATCGACGTTTTGACAGTTTTAATAAAAAATCTGCGAAAATTAAATTAACCGAATTATGAAAAAAAAATTTTTTTTAATTTTATAAACTAACTGCTGATAAATCGGTACCATGGAAATTCGTGCTAGTGTTCGTTGTTATGATTCATCGGGCAGAGACAAAAAATAACAAATTTGTAACATAGAGTGATAAGATTAGTTATGGTTGCCAAAAAATAAATATCATCGGGAAATTAAATATGATTTTTTTTTTTTTTTTTGCTCGTCACTTACCGGACATGGTCGCCATCATTTGAGTGTGCGCGACGCTTTCGACCTCGTCGGTGACCACTAGCTTGGTTGGTCCTATGACGTCTATTCCGACGCTGATTATCTGCAAAAGGCTGTTGTTGTAGGGTAGATGAGGAAGAAGCTTGAGACAGCATGATAAATCGGTAATTAATCTTTATATAAAAAAAAATGCACAACACTTCGAGCGAATACTAGTTTTTTTTTTTAAAGCCCACGAGAATGTGACAACAAGCGTACAGCTCCACTAGAGTTATGACAGTGACGCTGAAAATAACATTTCTCCCTACTCTAACAAATTTATAACATCTAAATACACTTCAATATTATAAACGGTTCAAACATTTCAACAATATTTATGTTGCTATAACTTAAGCGTCAGCTTCTAGAGTTAAATAATAACGCTACCATAATCAATGTGTAAAAATAATGAGATTATAACTTGTAAATAAAACCGACATAGTGCCCCCATATAGGAGTACTCATTGATGTACAGTGCTACGAAGATGACTTTTTGGCAAATGTTGCTGCTACAACGGATGTCTAAAAATAAGACAGCCGATCACAGTACTGACGCACCATACTCAAAAACAACATTTACAATGAATATTATTATTGTGCATGATAATGTACATTTATTAGATATACTATAGTGTATCTTATAACTCAATCATCTGTAAATGGCAATGTCAATTTTTTTACTTTGTTACCCGTGTATTAGATAATATTTAATATACAGGATTTTTACGTTTTAAATCAGTATTTTAAACGTTTACATTGGTCTTATAAGAAGTCAAATTTTTAAGCAGGCTATTTTTTTAACAATCCTGGTTAAAAATTTAGTAATATATAAAAGTGCTCTCAGACACTAATTGTGTCACACAATTAAGTAAAAACTAAAAAAGTATGAGCCAATTAATTATATACACTATCAGTGACTTATTCATAAATTTACAAGAAAGCAATACATAAAAAAATACTTTAGAAAATGTATCTCAACACATTATTATATTAATCGTAGAGATTTGACATCTATCCTTCGCTATGGGATCACCTTTATACGTAACCCGTGTAAAAAGTCATAAAAAACTATCAACTTATCTCTTAGGGTTAATTTTCTCCCGTAATTACCTAAGTACTGGTCCAGTATTGATGGTCGGAACTGGCTACTAGCGTCACGCCATTGCTAGCAGTGTACTGGCATAATACTGATTATACATAACATAACAACTATAGTTGTTGTATCAATTGTAATTTATAATTATAAAAAATTAATTTGTCTGTATAAAACGACTATTTTGGTCATTTTAAAGGATTCACTTTAGTGTTCTCATTTATGTCAATTTTACCGAGTGTTCTCGGTAAAATTGAAATGTGAACTTTAGACTATCAGATTACAAATTACTAATTGTCGTCATCGTTGTTGACAGTATTTGTGCGTCCGTAGTGTAACGCGTTGACTGAAAATAGAAGATAAATTTAAGGTGTCTGGGTACCGATCTTTTTTCAGGGGTCGAGTATAGGCAATTTTCGGTTACTATATGTTACGCAGTGTCGTATGAAAAGTAACTGATTATTTACAGTGCGAGTGTTCATTATTGAGAATATTTCCGCCGTATAATATTCGATAACAAAACTGGTTTTGTGTACTTGCCTTACTTTTTATTACTATTGTTACGTCGCTATTTAGGGGTTTAGCCTAAATGCCCGTCGACAGTATTCTAAGGGACCAACGGGGGATAGCTGGCTAGGCTATATCTACCTTAGGTACTGAAGTTTCCTATTTAATTTATATTCCCTTAGAGGAACTACCAAGGGTCGCACTACAATATATATATATATAACACTTTAGATTAACAACGATATAAATAAATATTTATTAAGCAATTGAAATATTAAATAGATAATACAACCTGCTGGACATCTAGAGATGATTAATCTAATAGGGAGCTGACGGCGACACACACACACACTATATTATAGTGTCACAATATACGGAGTAGCGAAGTTAAGTAAATTATCAGACAAAGTAGTGATCGTGAAGATGGTNATCAGACAAAGTAGTGATCGCGAAGATGGTAAAAGGTCAACTATCGATAGGGATGTCTTATTATGGCACATTGGCCGTGAATTGCTAAAATGTTTATGTGTGCAGTCCGCCCTCCTGTTAGTATTGTTGTATGTCACTGTGTTAATTATATATATATGTCTATTAAACGGTACAACGATGTTATGGGAGACAGAAATATGGGCACATGCAAATGTGATCGTATCACTATAGTAGTACTATAGTAATATAATGTCAGTGCACAAGTACTGACATACTTGTCAAGTAACCACTCATGGAACGCTCTACTTGTTGATAATTAAAAGATTTAGCAGGTATACAATTATTGGTCTACTTGACAACATTTATCAAGTTGTATTGTCATCATAGTCTTCGATTTTTCATAAATAATTTTCTCCTTTACAAATTGGTAAAAATTTTTGGACACTAGCATCAATACAGATCATATAAAGTTGTGCCGCGAAAAACATGCTTAAAATTGTTTTATTCCCTGTATATGCTTCTTCTATTTGGTCAGTTTTTTTACTTAGCATGTATTTACTTTTTCAATGTGTTTTTTAAGGCATGTCAGATTTTTTTTAAATAAATAAAATATTATTATAATGTTTCATGTAGTTTGAATAAATAATATAATTGATATTATAAATTTTAATTTAATCACTTGAATAATTATTAAAATGATCCGATGTTTGGCATACTTATATGAAATTAAAATTAAGATTATGAAAAATTTTAGGGAGGGCAATTTTAATTTTAGATATGTTAGGAATAGGTCGGTTAATAGCCAAAATAGAATCCTAAGTTCATAAATCATAAGTTTTTTAAACACAAAAATAATTTAGAAAATTTTGTTTATTGCAATAAAATGATAATAAAATTTTTGATGATTTTATGTGATAAAATTATTGGTTAAATATCGCAATTGATTATAAAATGGTCAAAAAAATTATCTTGGACTAGTATTAAAAAATAAAAAGTAGACTTAATATTATAAAACAGATTGAAATTTTTGTCCTCCAATTATAAATAGAGCAAAGAAAAAATTTGTTCAAATAATAAAAAATTGACTAATTTGATTGAAGATAAAACAATTATTTAAAGCAAAAATTAAACTTAATATATTACTGGAGACCAAACGTGTATTTATATTATAATTTAGAATTGAAATTAAAAGATAATAATAATAGTAAAATTGTCTACCACGAAATATCAAATTTGTTAAATTTTTTTTTTTTTTTTTGCGAGGATTTTATAGAATGCTTTTCAACAATAATTTAATTAATATAAATTGCAATGTATTTGTAGTTTAAAATAAAATGTAAAAAGAAAATTTAAAACTTACATCAAACAACAACAATTTCGGCTAAAAAAGATAAAATCAGAAATACTACAATATTATAGTAAAAGCAGTACTTGAATAATGTGTAAAAAATATAACCTAAACCGATGATATAAAGAACAGCACATATTTTATTAATACAATTTACTGACAATTCTAATAGGCGATAAATAACAAATAGAAAAATAACCCAACCGAACGGTCTATTAATAGCAATAGTTTTAATATATTTAAGCCACAAATTCAAACAAAACCGATTTCAGCAGATGAAACAGATATTTAAAAAACGGGGACAAATTCATTGGTAATTTTCAATTCGATGAACAAAAATTTGAGAAATTTAATACTGACACCAAGTAGTAAGAGTGACAAATACAAATAAAAGATACATTAATAAGCAATCTGGCAACATGGTATTGGTAAGCATTAAGACCGCTCTGTCACTTGTAATTATGTAGATTATCAAAACATCGTTGTCATTTTGTTGGGTAAAATAAGAGCCTTATCTTACCATTTAGTCGCCGAGTTACGATCTAACTAACGCTTTAATTTTGATCACTGGAACATTTGAATTTGTTGCTCTTACTACTTGGCTCGATTGACTTCAGTATTCATTTTTATTAATATATCTCTATCAAATTAAAAATAATCAATGAATTTGTCGCCACTTTGTTATGTAGTTGATAATTTATTGCTCTAATATATTTATGACCACATATAACTATTTGTATCGCTTGCGCATTCCATCTGCATAAGTATTAAAATCCTAAAAATTTAATAATTTAATAATGAATTTAATTTAGTAATTGAATTACTGGTCTAATGATTATTATCTACCAGCCATTTTTTTAATCAGAAATTTTTTTATTATATAAGTAAGCTAAAAATGTATATATATTTAGTATATCATGCAGTTTTTATGTAACAATTTTATATGTTTATGAAGTCACAATTTAAAAAAATGTTAATATTTTTAAATTTTCAATTAAAAACTATTGGAATGCATAACCGATTAAATTATTATAGATTACATTATGTAATCTCAAATAAAATATAAAAATATAATTTAAAACTTTTATTAAACAACAAATATTTCTATTAAAAAAGAATAATTTTAATGTATTAAAAATGGTGTTTCAATAATTAGACCATTTTTTATTATATAAGTAAGTTAAAATATATGTTGCAATCTAAAAAAATTAAGTTGGTGCTCTTATAATGGTAAAAAGACATGTTAATTAACAAGTACTTAAACACTAATAATTTGAGTGATCAATAGTACTCAACAAAGTAAACAAAATATTTCTAAGATTATTATTACTTAAGGAGAAATTTAGTAGTCAATTATAAAACAATTACCCTATAAAGTAAAAAACGTAAAATATATATATACATATGATAAATATTTTTAGTAATATTTCAGCTAATTTTTATACATTTATTAAGTTCATCATTTTATAAAAAAATTATTTATATTTTTAAATTTTCAATTAAAAATTATTAGAATGCATAACCAATTAAATTATTATAAATTACATTATATATCTCAAATAAAATGTAAAAAGAAAGTTTAAAACATTTATTAAACAACAAACATTTCTGTTAAAAAAAAGAATAATTTTAACGTATTAAAAATGGTGTTTGAATAATTTGTATGAAAAATTGATTAAGCCAAAATAATAAACAACATATATTTTATAAATGCAATATTAATTCAATAATAATGTGTAATAAATAAGGAATAGAAAAATAACTCTACCGGACGGTCTATAAATAATAATAATTTTAGCATATTTGAACGACAAATTCAAAACAATCGTTTTCAGTAAACGTAATAAATATATTCAAAACATGGCGACATTAAAAATAAAATGTAAATGAATAAGCAAACTGGCAACGTTGGTATATACAAGCGTTAAGAATGATTTCAACGCTCTGTTCTTTTTTATTATACAGAATTATAAAAGCAACGTTGCCAGTTTTCTTATGAACTTAATTCTAACCCGCGGGGCATGAAGAACGCATCTGAGTGACAATTGAGTAATGTAAGATTTTTACTATCTTACCATTGGTCGCCAAGTTTCGTTATCTCATTCTGAAATTCATTGTACTATACATTTATGACGCTTTAATTGTGTTCATTCAATTATTTGATATTCCGGCTTTACTACTTGGCTCGATTGACTTTAGTATTAATTTTTTTTGTAATATCTGTCCATAAGAATTTAAAAAATCAATGAATTAATTGCCCTAATATATTTGTCACCGGATATGACTATTTTTATTATTAAACGATTCTCGCCCGCACATTTCCATCTGTCTAAACATAAAATATTAATAATTTCCAAAGTATTGGTCCAGAAGTTATCAACCAGTAATCAATTAAGGATAAGATGCTCAATCTCTTGGAAACTATAAAAATTTTTATATTTTTGTAAAAGAAAAAATTATTTAATTAAAAAAACATTAAAATAATAATATTATTTCTTTTACTAAAATTAAAAATTCTTAATAGATTCCAAGAAAACTAGTGTCTTATTCTTAATCGATAATTATGTATCAAATATAATTGAGCAAATATAAAATTTGTTTTTACTTATCACAAAGTAAATTTTAAAAAATATAAATATATACACATGAAAATAATAAAATAATATATAAGAGTACTGAAGTTGTAATAGTCACGCGATTTGTGGGCGATTACACTATTGTCCGGCAGTCTTGTTCGGCTTATCACCTTTAAAATGTTTAAACCCAACCCCACCTAACTGGGCTATAGTGTTTTTTTGTACAAACATATATATATATATATATATAGAGATGGGATTTTTGACTCACTGATATGGATCAGTTCACTCAAATGAATTGACTCGGTGAGTCAACTCCAAATCGTCGAATCCTTAAAAGCGCAATTCTGACTTGTGAGTTGTAGAAGTTTGTGGAACGCGAATTACAACTCGCAACTCGCAAGGCATACTCATAGAGTGCCTTCTAAATGCGCCTTAAGTTATCTTAGCTAGATTAATATTAAATATGAAATATCAATGAATTATTGTTTTACACAAATGTGGATAATAATTTATTTTACTCATTGTAAATAATTATTATTTATTAACTACTATTGTAAAATTAAATGTAATATTGCTATCAATAATTTTTTATTCATTATTTGTTTATATATATTGGAATTAAATTAAAGCGCGAAAGAAATGATAATCAAATTCAAATTGTATGTACATTATGGAAAAAGTAGTTGGTTATTACTAATTAGTAATTTTATAAGATGATGGGCCTCAAACCCTGATTTTTACCTATAAGATGGTTGAGCTAATTTTAAGTTAAGACTTCTAATCATCCAATAGTTTGATTCCTTTTTTCTTCTGTTCAAATTTTAGATTCTCAATACATACCCACAATAGTTACATAAAAAGTAATTTATTTGGTTATTTGATATTTATAAAATATTTTTCTATTAAATTGTTTAATATTTTTACTAATTATATTTAAATTTGTTAATTATTATTGAAATAAAGAGTAAATTTAAAATCTAAAAACACTATTTTTTTTATTATTAACATCAACACATAGATTTATTTATGTGTTAAATTAGGTATACAAATACAATGTAGGTATTATCAATGTTTAATGTTTAGTGCATGCAGTGAGAAAAGTAGGTCTCTTCTCTCATATATTTCAAAATTTTCTTGTATGCAATTACAGGTCTATTCTTGAATGAATATTAGTTAAGTTATATTAAGTTCTAAGAACTGACATTATGTATAATCTAGTCTCATATATTTAAAATTTTACTCATTGTGTCAACGTTGTTTCCTGTGATTACAATACATCTTGTGCACAAAATCGAAAATTGTGAAACATTTTATTTAATTTACGAAGGTATTTTATTTCATTTTCAAATGAATAAATCAAGTGTTATTTGGGATTTTTTTCAACTTGAAGCAGTTAATATTCATGTAAAGAGTGGACTTTGTCGTATAAAATTAAAAAATAATTACTCTTCGACTTCAAATTTAACTAGACATATTAAATCAAGCATCCATTAGTAAATTTATTAAATAGACTCATGTAATAGAAGAGACGATTGATGACCCAAATATTACTCCATCAACTTCTACTTCTGTAAGTTAAATCTATATATCACAATTCGCACGATTCAGAATTTATTGATAAGACGTTTTAAACTAAATTCAATTCTTAGTCCACACTGAGTCATTGAGTCACAGTACCATGACACACTGATTCAGCTCGTTCAGTTCACTTAAATGAATCAATTCTTTAAGTTGACTCACTCACGAACTACCCATCCCTAAAATTTAGTAAAAACCGAGTAATCGAACAGCACGTTGTGCTATTATACTAGCCCATCTATAGTCTAATCCGTATAATAAGCATTGGGCTCAAAGGAAAATTGGAGAATTTACGATCAAATGAATCCAACTTGAGTATAAATATAATACCACTAGTCAAAGGTATTTCTATCATATTCCTAATAAATAGTTGCTTTATAAGTATAATTTATGAATAAATATCTATTAAAGCAATTCAACGTAGTATGAAATTGATATTTAATAATTTAGTATTGTAATTTTTTCCGATAATTTAAAAAAAATAAGTAGTTATTACTTTTATGGCAAACTTATATAATAATAAAAGGGTTAGACACAGAACTTTTTAGATAATAATTTGTTGTTAACTATAAATAAATGGTCTGCAAAAAATTTTATGAGAATAAAAAATATAGTATTCTTAAGATTAATATGGAGTCAGGAAATTGTATAATGACTATTTACTTTATATTTATCAGAAAAGCTCAATATATTTTTTACATTTTTATTGTAATAGATCACTTAAATAGATATCATAGTAATCATTTCTTAGTAATTTTAGGTGTTTAAAAAGATTCTACAATTGAAATATTTTTTATTTATGATTTATGTAGCAAATGTTACCAACAAATTGGCAATATTATATACTGTTAGTAACACACAAATAAAGTTAAAAACTTAAAATTTTACAAAGTAAAATTATTTAATTTTGTAGTTGAATACTTTTATCATATCAAATCTAATTCGACAATAAATACATTAAAAATATTGGAAATGAATTATTGTTTGTATATATAAAGCTGGTTAAGCTACTTTTTATTTTATTAAGGGATTTTTTTTCATTTTTTGAGGGTAATATCTTCAACTAAATAAGAATTGTAAACATTTGAAATATCGTTAAAAAAAGTTGTCAAGTGAGAGCTGAGAAAATAAATGTGAGCCATAAAAAAAAAAATCACATAGAAAAAAAACTTTAATATGAATAATAAATTTCTTCAAACGAGGGAGGACTACAGTGATGGGGTCCTTGATATTTATTAAAGATATTGAATCTAAATGATATAAAAATCATATGATTTAAAAATATTTTTCTAACTCAAAAACTTTTGTTAGGTATTTTTAAATATATGAAAATAAAAAATGATAGGTAACTATCTCATATATCATTAAAAAAAAAATTATATTGATTTGATCATTTTTAAAAAAATTATGGTAGTTTTAAGAAAAAAAAAATTACGAAATTTACCGATTTGAAAAATTGTAATTTTTTTGGAAATTTCCACCATTTACGGGGAACGAAGGAATTTTTAAGAGTAATATCTTCAACTAGATACGATTTGTAGTCAATTGACGTATCGTTAAAAAAAATGAGTCCAGTGAGAGATGATAAAAAGTGGTAACAGACACATAAAAATAAAAGACACAACATAGTAAAATTAATACTTTCTCAATTTCGCATCGAAGTTAATATTTTATAATTGTGTTGTATAATAATAGCACTATAATTTTTATCTGATAATCGCTATTTAAATTAGATAATAAATATTTTATATCGTACGAAAAGTGATTTGACAACAATTTATCCACTTAAGGGTTCTTGGAATGAATTCGAACCAATTTGCATAAATAGATTTATTGCTTTTACTCAATGATTAATGTCCAGCTCAGTTTTGATTATTTTTAAAAGGTACGCATTGAATTACAACATTCTTGTTTTTGAATTCAAAACTTATCAGCTAGCACACTCTAGCATCAACAAACATCAAATGAATCTTTAAAATGGTTGTAAATATGATAACATGATAAATGATAATATGATAAAAAAAGCTTCCTTTATCAATTTAGTTATTTTAATTTAAAAAATTGTATTTAGTGCATTAGTAGACATTATCAACAAATAATAAAATTTTATAAAAGAGAAGTTACTTAGAAGTCTTTAGAAGTTTAACGCATAAAAATGGCGGCTGCTCCAGGAAAACATATGCCTAAGGACACTCAAATTATTGTTTCGATTATGAAAGACTTGGGCATATATGAATATGATCAACAAGTTTTAAATCATCTTTTGGAATTTAATTACAGTTAATTCTAAATTCTTTAAATATTAAATTTAATTTACTTACACTATGAATGATATATTACAGGATACACAACTTTACTGTTAGATGATGCAAAAACATATTCAAATTATGCAAAAAAGAAAAATGTTGATGTTGATGATGTAAAAGTTGCCATACAAATGGCCCAAGATGGCATATTTTTTAGACCACCCCCTCGTGATGTAAGTTGAATGAAATATTTTTTTCTAGAATAAATAGTATGTAGCATACATACATTTTTTTAAATGTATATTTTTTATATTCCCAATGCTTTTTTTAACTCTAATATCACAAAAAACAATTTAATTACATATAAAGTTCAATAATTAATGAAAAGAATTTCCATTGTTCCTATTATTTTTAGAAATTAACCTTTTCTAACACCCAATTTATAATTATAAAAATACCTCAGTATAAAGGAATATACATTCCTTTATTCCTTTTAAACATAAAACAGTAAACTCTAGTTAAACGAATTGTTAATAAATTATTATTTTTTATTTAATTCTTCATCAATCCTTTAAAGTATTATTAACGATTGATCGTCACAAAAGATTATTTAATTATTATTACAAAAGATTTGATTTGTTAATCAATTATTTAAAGAGAAACACAAAAATACATGTCCCCTTACTGATAGCAATACTGATATAAAAATATTTGTTGACTTTTTTTACTCATTATTAAATCAAAATGAGTAAAATAATTATCTTAATAGGTTATAAATTAAAAAATTTTATTTATGCTCCTTTCTACCATATGAATTTTTAGATATGCCCCTATGCAGATATGTATGAGAATTTACTAGTATCTAAAAGTATATTTTTTTATTATTATTATATTATTTTAATAAATTTTTATGTATTTACTTATAAGTGTAATTAAAATTACATTTCATTCTTTATATTTAATTTATTGATTAATAAACAATATAGGTTTTGATTTCGGCTAGTAATGAAATCAACAAAATACCACTTCCTTCAATTAAACCAGCCAGTGGACTAAGAATACCTCATGATCGATCCAATTTCTTACAAACAAATTATAAACTTAAAGATGACTTGGTAAAAATAAATTTTATTTATATATGTTTTTACTACACTTTCATTTGTCTCAACGTTTTTTAAATTTAATGACTATTAAAATATCTAAAAAATTAATTTTTTTAATTTTTTATGTCCAATTGTTAAGTTATATTACCAGTAATGTTACTATAGTACTTTCATCTTTAATCACTGAATTTTGATATAAATTTATTAAATTATTTAGCCAAAAAATAATATTACTTTTTTCTACTTTTTATGGAAATATAATACATTTTATTATAAAATAACATTTAAATAATTTATTTTAGTAATTTTCTTAAATATTATTTTTAGTGTACAGGACCAAGTATCATTAAAAATGATCAGAAAACAACTGCTGCTGAGTTACTAGAAGGTTCAAGAAAAGTAGATGTAGAAGAAAGTGTTATTTCTCAAAGTTAGGGAAATCTTATTTTTTAATTATTTTATAGTTATATGGTTGTTTAAATGATACTGGTCAACAAAATTTTTTTTATTCATTATAGTTAAATGACAATTTTTTGTTTCAATAGTTAACAGAAAAATTAAAATATCTTTTTTTTAACTTTGGTTTTGTGATTTATAAATAATTTAATAAAAATATAAATTTCCTATGGTCATGTTATGAAAAATCGATTACATATTTATAGTAGCTTTGTTCAATTTAAAATTAATGTAAGATCTCTAATAAGATTCATAAAATTATGATAAAATTTTAACTTTGTTATCAAAACCAAAATCAAAAAAAAAAAAACTATGTACTTAACTATGTATACTTAATAGTAAAAAAAAAAATAACAATAATTCTAACAATATTTTTTTATTTATATTTTTAACAGTAATAATTTGTCATTATATTATTATAAGTAATGGCAAATATATAAAGTAATTTCTTTTATTATATAGGTAAAAAATAAGAAAAACGTAATTATGAATGTTTTAAAGCTTTCATGGATTGTCTTGTTGCTTGAAGTGCTTAAGAATTTATCCATGTTTGTAGTTGAGTTCTGACGTTTTGAACTCATTGCAGAGGAAAAACATAGTTGTTTAGTAAAGACAAAAAGCAAAATTTTTTATTAAATTATTTTTGAAAATGATATGCAAATGATCTAAAAATTATGTTGACCAGTATAATTGCCAAATTTATAAAAACATTTTCACCTTTAAAATTATTATTTTACCTTAATAACATAACTCGAATATTTTGTATTAAATCAATAATATAAATAAAGTAGGATAGTTTAACTTCTAAACACTCAAAGAAATTTTAAGTGAAGTAAAATATTACAAACTTGATTGTTTTATTTTAAATTCTATATCAGTGTTTATCAATTGTTGTGCCACCATTCATTAGTTTATTATAAAAGTACATAAGTGTGCCACAAAATGTGATTTTCTATGAGCCTTCAATTATTAAAAATGACTAATATAATGGATTATTATACTCTGAGATTAAAAAACTTAGAAATCTCTGCTGAATAACTTCCTGTTCTTACAAAAATAATTACTTGACTGTGATGGAATAGATATTGATTACAATTATTTTTTCAACATTAAACTAAACAAAAAAATTTGATCATTAATTAATGGACTCAAATTATAATACATTTTTAATATAAATCATGACTGAGTATAAATGAGTTAATAAGTTAAATATAAATTTTTAACTTAACGGAAATGTTTAGATTTTGTGTTAAATTAATTTCTTTTGTTCAAATAACAAATAATTAATGTATTTTGTCAATTATAGGTGTGTCCGTTCCTTCTTCACAAGTTACCTTTTGTATCTAATGAGGAAGGAATTTAGTCTTTATTCTCTCATCCACTACAAATTTTATTAAAATTGCCATATAAAATATTTTTTTAATACAATAGCCCACTCCTGATCTTTTTTATTTTGTTATATCTATGTAATATACGAACTATATTAGTGGCAGATTTTAGGGCTAGTAGGTAATACCCAAGGTTTATAAACATTATTTGTAGATATGCTTATGTTTTTTATATTTTTTAAGAAAGTTCTAAATACATTAAAAACATTTTATAAAAATTATTTATTTAACACTTATACATAGATTTTTACATTATTTTAAGTATTCATCTCACATATCTGGTTTTATCCAATATATACTATATAATAAAAATATACAAAATTGAATGCATTAATATAAAACATGAAGATGAGATAAATTATAAAGTATTATTTATTGTTATGATAAATAAAAACTTTAATTTTGATAATATTACAGCTGAACAGAACACAAATAATTGGAATGAATTTATGGAAGAAAGACGGAGTTCTATCCAAGGTGAACCAATGGATATACAAAATTATGAAAGTCAATCATGAGATTTAATTTTATATAAATATAACTTTCTAAAAATTTACTCATTATATTTTATAATTGATAAGAATTTTTTTCCATCCATTTATAATGTAATAAAATTAATTATTGAAACACTTTAATTTGATTGTTTTAATAATTTTTTTTAACAATGAATTGTTAAATAGAAAATTTTATAATTTAAATGAAATACAATGTTATTTTATAAATTTACTAAATTATCTGAGGTTTAAATAAATTAAATATTAAAATTTAAATATGTATTTTGAAAAATAAACTCAATATTGACTATAGTGTGACTACTTATAGTTTATTTCATTATAATTGATAACATTATATATATATATATATATATATAAATTCTTGATAATTTTTATTTTTAATATATCAAACAATATTTTAAACATTCAGAGTCTACATTTTCAATATGTTTTTAATACACTAATTTAATGTATGCCTTATTTGTTAACTAAACTACAGATTCATATCAAAAATTTAATACAACATTTTTATATAGTTACTATTAATTACATTATTTTATTTCTTATTAAACAAATGAAATATGCAAAATGAAAAAATAAGTATTTTGTAAAATAACTTTTGCTACTTGAAATTTCAAGAAACGGAACGCAGTTATCAAATTAAATTTGAAATTATAAAAGTGCCCTCTATTTAGAAATATTCAAATTTCATATTTACTATTCTCATTTTACACATGTTTGTTTTCTAAATTTGTACTTGAAATTAATCTTTTATCTTCATACTATTTCATTATATTTAATAAGTTTCGGAGTGTGGAAAACTAACAAAATATAGAAAGTGTAACAATCCATAGTTAATATATATTGTATAAACTGAAGGGATTTGAACAAAATCAAGAAAACTTTTTTTTTTACAAAATTAGATTTTGATTGTTCTTAATAAAGATTAAAAGACAAATACATTTATCCAAGTTAAAATGAATAATATAAATCATTTTATATTTATCAATTTTTAAATTTTCTAGTAAGTAAAGATATATGTCAAAAATGTTTGGTTTTTGCTATAGTTCCCTGAAAATTTTTGAAAAATGAATTTTTGTACGGAGCTCTTAAACAAGTCTGTAAATTTGATTAAAATTACTGTAACAAATATGAAGTTTAAGTAACGTATAAAATTAGTTCTCAATACACTCATATTACTTTCATTTGTTGTAAAAATTCAAGAAATGTGATATGAACTACAGGGAAATAATATTTTACTTATCAAAATAATACATTTCTCTAGTTATTATTTTCTAAAAAAATTTTGCAATAATTTGTTTTTAAATCTTTGAAAAGTTTTATAAAAACTTAGTTTCATACAATTTATAGTTTTATAGTTCAACATATTTTTTTTAATTATCTCATATTTTTAATAAATAATATTTTAATAATATTTTCCTATTTCATACATATACAATACAAACATTTTATTAGGAAAAAATGTAATATAAAAAATACACATAATTTAAAAAGAAATCTTTAGTATTTTTTACAAAATTAATTTATAATGACTATTTAATAAATACAATATAAAAGATACAGTAATTAATGAACATGAGGTTTATAAAAATGTTATTATTTGTTTCATCAATTCTAATAATTAAAGTTTGTCTAGAGATCAGAAGTACAATACATAGTATCAATCAGTATCATATTTTGAGTTTAAGAGTCTACGACTATCTTAATAGGAAAATATTAACTTAACTAAAATTATTTATATAGAATATAAAATATGTAAAATACTTCACACGAGCAAAATCAGTTTCAAACTTGCTCAAATTTTAAATCACAAAAATATTTTTCTAGTCGCAATTTATATCAATTACCTTAAATAATTTAATCTAATAATAGTATAAATAAGAAATAAAATTTACTAATAACTCGTGGTTAGTATAAATAGTTAATACTAACAATACTAATAAGTAATGAATAACATTATTGGTAGAGCACAAAAATCAATATGAAGTACATTTTACAAGATATTTGAGCTAATAATTTAGGAGTTTTAAGACAAAAACCAAATAATTTATGTTCATAGCTTATGAAGTCCAGCCAATAGAAAAAATAGTTTCAAAAACTAATAAAAGATGTATTATAATAGCTTAACAAAATAATAACTACAATGAAATTAAAAAAATTAAATATGTACAGTAAAAAAAATTTTTTTTCCTGAAAAATTGAAAAACTTAAATTATTATGCCTCTCAAGAATAGAATATAAATTATTTATTTTTGGAAAAGCTTAAGTAAATAGTTTAACTTCAAGTATATCCAATGTATCTTTGACCTTAATATTTTTCTTAATGTAACAAAAACATGTTAAAATGTTTGCCAAATAATGAATTTACATAAAAAAATTTGCTTCTAAAACTTCCAACTTAAAAAAATAAAATTGTGTTAATAAAGTTTAATTTTAATAAAAGAGAATTTTTTTTATCCTAAATCAGTAGTAGATTCGAAAATTTTTTTTTTATTTCTAGCAGGTAAGAAATAAGCTGCTCTAATACTCCTTTTAAAATAAAAACAAATAAGAAGTTATTTCATATTAACATATTAATATCACACAAAACAGTGGTAAAATATTTGTTCATTATTATAAAAGAAAGATAACATATGAGATTTTTTCACATTGAAAATTTTCTTCATTTTTTCTAGAATATTTACTTATCTTTTTATAATGGCTCTTGTAATATACACCAAAATATTTATAAGCTACTCAATAATTTTATACCTTTATCTACTCTGGACATCCATTCTCATGTGCATACTTTAAACAGTTTAAATAGCCACTTTTAGCAGCTTTTAAAGTAGTTCTAGAATCCCAAGGACATCCATTTTCATGTGCATACTTTAAACAGTTTAAATAACCATTTTTAGCAGCTTTCGTAGTAGTTCTAACATCCCAATGGCATCCATTCTCATGTGCATACTTTAGACAGTTTATATAACCATTTTTAGCTGCTTTCAAAGTAATTCTAGCATCCCAAGGACATCCATTTTCATGTGCATACTTTAAACAATTTAAATAGCCATTTTTAGCAGCTTCTAAAGTAGTTCTAACATCCCATGGACATCCATTCTCATGTGCATACTTCAGACAATTCAAATAGCCATTTTTAGCAGCTTTCATGGAAGTTTTAGCATCCCAAGGACATCCGTTTTCATGTGCATACTTTAAACAGTTTAAATAGCCATTTTTAGCAGCTTTCAAAGTAGTTTTTTTATCCCACGGACATCCATTTTCATAAGCATACTTTAAACAGCTTAAATTACCATTTTCTGCTGCTGCCCAGGTAGTTGATTCTTCCCAAGGGCATCCATTTTCATTTGCATATTTTAAACAGTCTAAATTTCCTTTTTTAGAAGCTTCACTACAAGTGTAACTATTCCACGAACATCCATTTCTATGAGCATACATGATACAACCTAAATGGCCATTTGTAGAAGCTTCCCAGATTGTCCTTTCATTCCATGGACAACCATTTTCATGTGCATACTTTAAACAATTTAGATTTCCTTTTCTTGCAGCAGCCCAAGTCGTTGATTCATACCAAGGAATTTCATTTTCATGTAAAAATTTTAAACAGTCTACATTACCACTTTCAGCAGCTTCCCAGATAGTTCTTTCATTCCATGGACAATTGTTTTCATATAAATATTTTAAACACTCGAAATTACCATTTTTCGCGGCAGCATTAATGATAAAATGATCCCAAGGACAACCATTTGCAAGTGCAAATTTCAAGCACTCTAAATGATTATTTTCAGCAGCTACCCACGCAATTTTCGCATCCCAATGATGTGTTATATTTTTTTCATTATTATGTTTTATATCTCTTTTAAATATGAAGTTTAATATACTAATACAACAGCTATTAAGTTCAACTGAAGGTAACCTGTAGTATTTGTATAAATTTCTTTGTTCTTCGTTACATGAATAGAATGCCAACTTAGTTAATGTAAACATTCTAAAGTAATAATATATTATATTTAACTTTCAATACCTTCTCAGCTTTATATAAAAGCTAAATTTCTGTATCTATTTGTCAATTAATTCATTACTATAAACGTTTTAATATGTAGTGTTTAAAAATTTTCTCAGCTGCTCCTGAAATATATTGTGTAACTTATATACATCCAGGATATTATATTTCTAATTAAATTTTTTTTTACAAAAATTTACTGCAACAATTTGATTGATGAAAAAATGTCCTATTATAGGGATGATTTATTAAGACTTTTTAATAATAAACAAAGTAATTTAAGATTATAAAATTTAAACATGAAAACATACTTTCACCGTTGATACCATATATTTTAAACTAAATGTAAAAGTACTACGATTAAGCTATTGTTTTAATATAATAGATTACATAATATAGACTATACATGTTTTGTCAATAAATCGGTAATTATTTACAAACATCGCGTTTATTTTACGTAGTGACAGGAGAGATAAAATGTTCAATAAAGGACCCATATGTTTCTATCACTTTTTTATTCTAAATACCAGTGTTGTTAGGTGAAATCATACAGATAGCGCAATAAATGATTGAAAATCATGCTACGGCAGCGCTACGATTAAAATATGAAATGTCTTATTCTTATCTATGATCATAGATACTCGTTGGTCTTTCATGAATTATATTTTCTACATTTCTATTATGAAAAAATATACAAAGTGATTTTTTTATCATAATCCACTTAATTACTTACAAAATAAAATTTTTTTTTTTTGGTTATCTTTAGTTACACATTATTCTTGAATTATTACTATGTAATAATTTCTAAGTTCATCCCTTATGCCTTGTTAGATAGAAAATTTTGTTTTTTTCAAATGAGAACACATATTTTTAATTTAATAAAATGTTTAAGTTTATAATTTAATTGTAAAAGGCATTTGAATTTTTAATATAACTTTATTCGTTTATTAGATATAACAAAGTTTGAAATTTTAATATACATGTATAGTACACAAGAGATTACAAATACAGGTAGCTAATTGGTATTTTATGACGTCGCTGTCACAGTCACGGAGTGTTTATTGTCAATTATAGCTATCAATAGATAAACTTTCTGTATTGCTAATAGTATATTTATAAACTCACAACAATATGCCTTACTACCATTGATAATAAATACTATGTACTTGTGAATATCGACGTTATAAAATACCAATTAGCTACCTGTATTTGTAATTCCTTGTGTACTATACATAAATATTAACTCAAAAATTTCAAACTTTAAAGGTCGATTAACACGGATCGGCAACGTCATATCAAAATATTTAACTATATATTTACATGATGTATGTGTATGTGAACAAACGATATAAGTACATGGTTAGATATTTTGACGTGACGTTGACGTTCTGTATAGTGTGAATTGACCTTACATGTAAGTAATTGATTGGGTTATGATAAAAAAATCACTCTGTATATTATATAAAAGAATAAAGGGAATTAAATAATTAAATAATAGTACAATCAATTTTAATTGTAATGAATATAAGTCTTTAATCGTTTTAAATTACAAACTATTAACATAAAAATATTAACAATCACAATGAAAATTGATTCAAAGCTTAACGAGTAACAAAAAATCTTTTTGAGTAATTTCAAACCTTAGCTGATCTTTATGATTAATATAAGTAATCAATAAGGAAACAAAACATTTTTTATTTTAAATTTTAAAACATCAAAGTAAAATAATACAATTTTCGGTATATTTTTCAATTACTTTAACGAATACATAATAAATGACCTCGCATTTAGAAAAAATAATTATAACATTTATTGAAATTAATTTTCCCATGTCTATTTGGAACAACTCTGATTTTGGCCAGTTATTTGGAAAATATGAAAACCATTTGTATTACCAGGTCCTTTTTTCCACCCAGTGACAATTACAACTTGATCACCGACTTTTATAATACCTAGAGTTTTGCCGAATTCAATTGCATGATTTATTCGGTTGTCTAAATCATTCGATCTATTTGATTTTGCTGATTCTATAATATGTATGTAAAATTATTTAAAAAAACACTGTATAAATTTAAAAAAAAATAAACAGCCTTTTTACTATTTCTTCATTTGATCTTACTAGAGTAATATAATGGTAAGATACCACGATAGATATGACACTGTCGCGCCACTTGATCATTTCTAGTGACGGCTAAAATTGGACAACGAGGACGATATTTAGAAAGAAGGTGAGCAGAATGGCCAGAGTTTGTCAGAACAATAATCGCAGCTGCTCTACTTTTGACTGAGGCGTCCACGGCAGAAATTGCAATTGAATGTGAAGTATCTAATGGTAAACTGACCTAAAATTCCATTATACATACTTATTATATTATTGTATTTTTTAAATTTATGTATTGGAATTTATTGATTTACATATTATTAAAAACTTACTTTAGATGTCAGATTTGCAAATAAATGTTTGTGCCATACAGCAGCCTCGGCTTCCTTACAAATTGTCGTCAATGTACGAATACACTCCAAAGGATATTCGCCTTTGGCCGTTTCACCTGAAAGCATAACGCAATCAACTCCATCTAAAACAGCATTAGCTACATCTGATGATTCAGCTCTAGTAGCACGAGGTTTTTTGATCATCGACTCTAGCATTTGAGTAGCACATATTACTGGTTTACCAGCCTATATTTTATTAAAACATTAGAATTTTTAATTTAATTGTCATTAAAATAATAGTAATAATTAAAACAAGAGTTATATACAATATTGCATTGTGCTATCATAGACTTTTGTGCCAAAAAGACTTTTTCAGGAGGAATTTCAATACCCAAATCACCCCTTGCAACCATAATACCATCAGAAACGTCAATTATTTCTTTTAGATTTTTTATACCTTGATCATTTTCAATTTTTGATATAACAAGGATATTTTTACCCTTTTCGCCTAAAAGTATAAACGCTTAAATTGAAATCAATTGTAATGGTAATATTACTAGTATTGATTAAGTTTTAAAATATAACTACTATTTATCTCACAACCACTGATAGACAGCCCTGTTTCAGGTTTAATTAACAATGTCAAACTAAACTAAAAAAAATACCAGTAATAAAATTATACTTAGATAATTACACTATGAGTAATATGAAACAATAACAATTTAAGCACTTACCTAATATATCTCTGATTTCTTTTACAGCCGATGCTTCACGAATAAATGAAGCAAAAATCATGTCAACTCCTTGTTCAACGCCAAATAGCAAGTCTTGTTTATCTTTTTCAGATACAGCTGGAAGGTCCACAGAAATTCCAGGTAAATTTATTCCTTTATTACTCCCCAGAGATCCTCCATTTTCAACAACACATTCAATATGGTTACTCTCTGAATTTTTTATAATGATTTCAAAATAAATTTATAGGTTTATATTACTTTAAATAAAAATATTGACCAATTTTTTTGACAATCAAAGATATAAGACCATCATCAAGAAAAATTTTGTTTTCTGGTTTCACAACTTTAGTAATATTTAAATAATCTACAAATACATCAGTTGCAGAGCCATTCTTTTCAAATTTCTTGTCAGTAGTTAGACGAATTTTGTTATCTTTTTTTAACTCAATTTCAGCTGATCCATTCTATACCGTAAAAAGTTAAATTAAATTATGTATTTTAAATATATATATTTTGAATTTAATTTTTACGCCTCCAATTAAACCAGTTCTAATTTCAGGCCCTTTTGTATCCAAAGCAATAGCTAACGGATAACAAATATTAGTTCTCTTAGTATAGTTATAAATTGCTTGTCTTAAATTTTTTATTGTATTTTTGTGATAATCGTGCGACCCATGAGAGAAATTCAGTCTACACACATTCATTCCAGAATCAATCATATCTTCGAGTATTTTAACAGAAACAGACGCTGGACCTAACAAAAACGACTTATTTAAGTATATCAATGTAATGCAGAGTATTTTGAAAGTCAACAACATAAATAATTATTTTTAAAATATTAGGCGTTTTATGTTAAACTTATGTTTCTTGACGTAAGTAGACTTGAATTAATGAGCTTGACACAACAATAAGAAGTCCATCTTTTTCAAAAAATAATTTATTGTTGATTTTGAAGAAATGTTTTATTTGCGTAATTTAGTACAAAAACGAGTTATTTAATGAGATATTTAATGTAGAAAAATATTTTACCATTACTTTTAATCAAAACAATTTGACAAAATTGCTTCTCCTGAAAAAAGAATGGAATTATCTGGTTGTTGCGCCAAGCCCTTCAATTCGTAAACTATTTAAGTTTAAAATGTTGACATTAAATTATTAGAAGACAAACGATGACTAAAAATTACATATACTTAAATCAAATTATAAATGATAGTATAAGTCTCATTTACCGGGCCTCTTTTAAAATTTTTTTTTTTATTATAACTTAGTTTATTAATGTAGATTAATAATATTTAATCAAATTTAAGTGGAAACAATTAGTTCAAAAGTTATATAATTGTAAAGTAATAGAGTATTTTGTTGTCTAATGTTAAATGGAGACTGTCATTATCTACGGGTAATCGTTTTTCTGAACTTGTATTCATTACAATACACTTGATTTATCTATTTTATAATATATATAGTTCCATATCTTCCTAAATGGTTTCTATTAACTTTTTTGACATTAATTTAATAAATTTTATTACCTTAAACTTTACTAAACTACTTAATATCATAAAATTCATAATAATTTGTACGTCAACTTTTGACCGCGGTTTGCTTTCTATGTAGAATTATATTTAAGAAGCAGTGTTCACATTCTATAAATACTATCGGTTATGTGATCATTTGTATTTTAAGGTGAACTATGACTAAATAAGTCTAAACATAATAAAATAATACAAACCAATTGTACAAATAACACCAGAAAGACGAGCATATTGAGGCTTAACATCAATGTCAAGTGAAGTTAAATAATCTAGATAAGTATTAACGTTATCGTGTGAATACACTGACTTTGACGTCTAAAATATTACAGAAGGTTATTTTATATAACATTCAGAGTGATTTTTTTATCAAAATTCACTTAATTACTTAAAGAATAAAAATAATTTAAACATTTTTTTTAAATTAACTTTACTTATTTTACATACAATTAATATATTATTGCCATAAATTCAATTTGCTTAAAACATTTGAGTGTTTATGATTATGGTTACCCTCAAAAACCTTCCAATTGAATGAAAAAGCCTAAATGTATTTATGGAAATTGCCTATACCACCACAATCAAGATACAAAAATCACAGATTTAAAGTTGTGCAATCTACTAAACTATTTTTAAGCATAACTTGTAATATCGAATCGGTTATTGGTTTAATGTCGAGAGGTAATATTAAACTATCGGATATTAGAAAAAATTGTTTCGGATCCCTAACATTTACTTTTACTTGTTGGTTATTTAATTGATATTTTTCAATGTTCGGTGCATAATTTCTAGATAATGTATTGTTGATTACATCAAAATTTAAATGTTTTGACAGTAGTTCATCATACTTTATCCTAACGACAGACAGAGGAAGCTGAGATAACTTCTTACCGAAACGAAAATGGATTTGGTGCATCTTAGTTGAAATATACTTTGAAAACATATTAATCACTTTTTTATTTGAATGAATATAGATAAATCAAGAAAAATACCGAAAAATTGTTTATGAAAATTTCTTTAATAAGTAATTACAGTACAATTACTGTTTGTTGCAATTGTCATGGGTCAAATTATATTTATTAGCCAATACAAAGCATCACAAATAAAACGACTTCTGAATATTCAGTTATAAAATAGTTCTTTTCTCATCTATACTTTTAAATAATAAATTTATCTAATCAATTTCATATAGATGATCTAATACAATTATTATGATTGCGTAATATCTGAGAAAAATGAACATTTTCAAACAAATATTAAGTTTCCAAAGAAAACAGAATTATTTTGGTATACTTATAAGTACTTATAAATCCGGAATAATTCCGATTCTTTAATAATTTTTTTTAAAAAAATACAAATTTAAAATCTCAATTTTTTCACAATCATCTTAATTAATCAATTATTGCTATCCATGCATTTGTATTTTGAAAATTGCATATACTCATTATGTAAATTAATGGTATTTTTTATCACCTGGTACATAAAAAGGTAATAATAATAGTTTTTAGAGTGGATAATATACGTACACATTACACAAATTATCAGAGAAGTAAATATATTTTTAATCCTTCTTTACTAACAGCATGAAATTGAAGATTAATTTTTTAATAGATGCTTTAATTTAAAAAAATTATACTTAATTATACTTAATATTTATAAAATAAAAATAATAATTATTACTAAAATTAAACGTTTTATTGTTCAATTAAATATAAATAAAAACTATATTGAGTTTAGAAGATGACTTAAAAGAATAAAAATCTATAGCATTTATCTCATAGCAGGTTTATTACATATTATAATTATTATTACATTAATAATTCAGATGAGTATTGATGATAAACAAATTTCAATGATAAACATTCGTAGTATATAATAAAATATCTACATAATATATGCCGTTTAAACATCGTATCAAGATAGATTCATGAATCTACTTTACTCGTAACAATGTTAACTACAAATTAAAGTTGTTTTTTAAATATTCAGTAAATATAAGTTATGTTTAATGAACAATACGTCTAACATGAATCCCTAGCACAATTGGCCAGCAAGTATATCCAAGTAATATGAAGTTGTTATGCATTACTTCAGAGAGGTCCACAGCGGTTTTGTAACTCACAACACAGCGTGGCCTCCTCTGTTGGCAGGACCCAAAAGTCGGGTTCGAAGCCGGGGGTTTACCACATGGACTTTGCGAAGGTTGGGGCTTAATAATTCACAAAAACATAGAAAACCAGTATGCAACATTCTAAGTCGCTGACCTAAACCAGCGTTTATGATATTTAGCGCTATTTAACTATTATTAAATATTATACAAGAAAATAAAAATATTACAGAAAATGTCTTCAACTGCCTAAATTCAACCCCTTTTAGGGACGGAAAAGAGTGGGTCTAGCAAGCTCAAATTTTATGCACACACTTTTATAAGTCAACCAAACAAAATGGGAGGGTCTTGGTTACAAATTTTTTGAAGTTTAAAATTAAGGACCACCCTTATAATATAAATTATAGGCCAGTTAACGAAGGAAAAATGGCGGAAAAAATTCCCAACCAAATTTTTTTTTTTTTAAAGTTGAATTAAGATATGTATAATGACATACTAAAAGTGCTTATCGATTGGACTTGAGCTTTATTTTTTACAGCCTCGCAAAAGTTCAAAAATATGAGCTTTTTTAATTTTCTCAAAAAATATTTACCTTACAAAAAAAAGTTTCGTACAAAAGTTATTTAAAAAACAATTTTAAACAAAAAAGGTATCTTAAATTTTTTCATTTAAACAAATATTTTTCGATTTACATTACATTTAATATGTAATGAATATTGATTTGACGCTATATTGTTTAAACCCAACTAAACGCTAAATTGTACATTCATAAACAACAATTATATTGTTTGACCTTTGCAATGTTCACGTATAATAGAAAATTGAAGCCCTGTTTTTCGGCAGCCAGAACTTTTATCACCTCTAGCACCAGACTAAAGGCCGTTTTATGACAATTATCTTTATTATAAGCAGAAATTCCGGTGGCAATTGACATAATATAATAAATTTTAGTACTCATATTAAATGTAATGTAAATCGAAAAATATTTGTTTAAATGAAAAGATTTACGATACCTTTTTTGTTTAAAATTGTTTGGTTGACTTATAAAAGTGTGTGCATAAAATTTGAGCTTGCTAGACCCACTCTTTTCCGTCCCTAAAAGGGGTTGAATTTAGGCAGTTGAAGACATTTTCTGTAATATTTTTATTTTCTTGTATAATATTTAATAATATTTAAATAGCGCTAAATATCATATTTCAAAAGATATTTAGTTTTTTTTAATATAACTCGTTAAATGTAGTATTTATACAAAAAAAATTCTTATTATTTTTTTTAGGACATATTATTTACAATAAAAAAGTATTAATAAGACTTTTTGTAATATTTAATGTTTTGCCTATAATGAAATCGATAATTTTTTCTAAAAATAATGCTTAAATATGACTCAATTTCAAAATTGAACTATAATATTGTATATTGTTAGAAGGCAATAAAAATAAATTCTAACATTTAAGGATGTTACAAACAATAAATAGCTTCTCACTTACGCATAAGTAAATAAAAATTGAATAAAATATATAAAAAATTTTAACCACTCAAATTTATTATATTTGAAAAATTCAAATTTTTAAGAACTTAATTGTTGTATAAAAAAATATAATAATGATAATAAATCTTATTGATTTATAAAAACGGGTTTTACATAGCTTTGCAGATAAAATCCTGGATATTGTTGACAGTAGTTATGAACGATCTAAAAATCGAAAATTATACAGTTTATATTTAAATAGTAATGATTGTTGCGATCGCATCTCATTTTCGGTGTTACCGCCAGATGGCGATCGCGGCGTTTCCTCTTCACGTTCGATAGGTCGCTGAGAAGCCCGAAGACTTCTGATAGATACAGCCACGCAGGCCCGTTCAGGAGGATGATACGCTGGTTTAGGTCAGGTATGTCATTATACATATTTTAATTCAACTTTTTAAAAAAAAAAAATTTGGTTGGGAATTTTTTCCGCCATTCGCCAAAATTACTCCTTCATTGACTGGCCTATTATATACTGGATAGTAAGTGATAGTTATACCTTTGCTCCAAGTGATTTTGCATTAGCAGACAAAAGTAAACAATGCCATGAGATATTTTCTTAGGATAAGACATACTAATTCAGAATGTCTTTGTAAGTTTAAGTGTACTGGATAGCTATTCCTAAGTTGTGTCTATATTTAAATTTTATTTAAGTTAAGAATATTTCATTGGTCGACAACGTAATTAAAAAGGTGTAAACAACGTACCCAACCTTATTTTTATCTATTAATAATAAATAAGCAAGAACAATATACACTAGATTCATTTTTTCCTTATAGCTGTAATTGTTGAAACCAAAACAAATTACTATCAAACATATTACACATTTTATACCGACTACAATGAACACACAGTCAGGGACGACTGCAACTTATTTCTATCTTAGCTAGATTTTATTTTGGTTACCTTTGCTCAACACTGGTAATCCTTGAATAATCAAATTATATTTAACAACTTATATTTATAATATGAAATTATATAATTAATACATGAATTGTAAACTTTTAGTTAGATATTAAGGTTATCTGATAGAGTACTCATATATTTCGATTTCCAATATTTCCATGACTAATCATTGTATATTTAAAAAAAATTGTGCCTGTAAAAAAATTTTAATATTAAAACGTAATGACGGAAATAATTTTAGATATTTTGCTTACAAAATTGGATTATTGTTACTACCTTCGGTGTCATCATCTAGTATGGAAATAAAAATTCATATTGTAATAAAGATGTTTTTGTTTATTAGTAAAAATTTAATTTATGATAAATTTATAGTAATAAGTAATATTGACAATAATAATTACTGTTAATATTACTTATAATCTATTACTGTCAACAGTGTATTATATTTTATTTGAAATGTATATTTTTAGTATCTAGATTTTCATAGCTGATTTATTTATATTACTTTTATGTTTTTCAACCTTATAATTAATATAAGGGAATATTTTCGAAAATTCATAAATTATGGTATTCAAGATATTAATATAACTTTTAATCTTTTCATATAAAAAAACAATAAAATTAACGATTACTCACATTTTTTAAATATCTTAAATAGGAATAACTGTATAGAATGACTAATTAAGCATAATCATTTCAGTCATGCATTAATTGTTTTAAATTATTTTACGATAGATTTATATACTATATCACAATTAACAATCGCAAAAAAATTATTAAATAAATATAGTTTAAAAAAATTAATAAAACACGCTTTTGAAGCACATCGAACTAATGTCCAAAATTAGCGATTTTTAAATTTGTAATTTTTTTGGAGGTTTCCCTCATTTACGGTGAACGAGTGAAATTTTTCCAATTTTTGAGGGTAATGTCTCCAATTAGATACGATTTTTGATCTTTTGACGTATCGTTGAGAAAAATCAGTCCAGTGAGAGATAAGAAAAAGTAGTGACAGACACAAATAAAGTAAAATAAACACATCATAATAAAACCAATACCTTCTCAGCTTCCCATCGAAGCTAAAAATATTTGATAAATAGTGATAAAAATCTCATAATTGTGCACAGATTTTCGATACTTTCGATCAAAATTACACTAATTGTATGTAAAAATAACGTGTTTATATCATTAGTATCGCACTGATGTATGGGAATGTTCGGTTCATTTCTAACAGTATGATATTTCCTATGGTTCATAAAAAGAAATACAATTTTAATCTGTATATTTTTATGAAAAAATCATTATTCAACGAAAGAATTGCGAGTAGTATTTTTAATAAATTACATGATGTTAAATATGTATTTTTCATAAAGATGTAACATACTTTGTCTGGATGACGAAGTTCCTCCAGTGTGTCGTGAGTGCTTACCTAGGATTACGCATACAATTATTTTTACATTTATTATACGTTTTAACATTAATTTTAGCTTTTTTTTATTTAATAAATATACAGAGTGATTTTTTTATCATAACCCACTCAATTACTTACAGAATAATAATAATATAAAACTTTTTTTTGTACTATCTTTAGTTACACATTATTCTTGAATTATTAACTATTTAATACTTTTTATGTTCATCCCTTATACCTTGTAAGGGTATCAACTTTATTTTTTTAAATGGGAACACATATTTTGAAATTAATAAAATGTTTGAGTTTTTAATTTAATAGTAAATGGCATTTGAATTTTTAATTAAACTTTATTAGTTTATTAGATATAAATATTTTAAGTTTCTAATTTTTGAATTAATATACATGTATAATACACGAATTATTACAATTACAGGTAGCTAATCGGTTTTTTACGACATCGCTGTCACAGTCCCGGATTGTTTATTACACAGCTCCCAAAAAAAAAAAAAAATCGCAAAAAAAGTGCTAGCAAACACACCATGTTTACTATGTTTTTGGAGTCGCTGAATTCGAATATGAGGTTAGTTTAATCAAAGTTCTCCATAACCCAAAAAAATAGCTTACAAACCAAGTAATATTACTCTAATTTAACTGGAAAATTTCTATACCAATACCACTGCCCTCACCTAATATATTTATAGTACTGATGCAGGCACGTATCCAGGGAGGGCGCTTGAGGGCCTTCCCCCCCCCAAAATCCTGAAATTCAAAAAATATTTCCATGTGAGGTTTTCCATAGAAAAGTTCTCAATGTAGAATTTTTTCAGTATAGCATTCGCTATTCTTTGAAATTTAGGTTTTCAGTCGTCAGTAAGGACATCCAAGGTTTCATATTACGTACGCAATGTAAATATATATGCATTATACTTATACACATATGATTATGTACATTTATGTTGAGTTGTAAATAATGACACTAATTATTAAAGCAGTAATTTAATGTTATTTTGTTTGTTTATAATACATGTCCATTACACATCACACCACAGCCAAATGTGTTGATGTTTGATGTTTATGATAACAAAACTGTGGATGATAGCAACGTGCTATTTTTATTATATCCATCAAACATTTTGACGCGTTTGTTTAATCGAAATTAAAATTTGTGATTGTGTAGTTATTTTAATAAGTAATTTATCAATAAAAAATTATCATCAATAAACAGTAATATTATTTATAAATCATAATACTTTTATTCGTCATGAATAAAGAGAAATTATGTATTTGTGGTAAAAGTCTCTATTCGGTCTCTTAGCTATTTGCTAAGAGACTTAAATTCATGTAACAGAAAAAGAAAATCTACCAGTACAACAACCACCAACATAAAAAATTTCTTTTCATCGACGAATTCATTCTCCACAACAAATCTGGGTAATGTATAATATTTAACTGATTGATATTTAACTAACGAATAAAATAGTATGGTAATAATAATAGAATGAATTATATTAAACAATGTAAATTTTTTGTTGCATTAAAAACTTTCTATATTTAAAAAAATAAGAGCTGATGTCAATGAAATAGATAAGATGTGTGTTAAATTTTAAAAGTTGTGGTATGCTAGATATTAATCATATTACTTATATTACGCCAAAAGTATTTTCAGCGTAACCTGGAAATAATAGGCCAGGCCAGTCTAAACAAGGATAGGCTTTTTTACACAGTAAGTCTCTGTGTACAGTAGATTTAGGTCAAATTAGACTGTTGTGCTTCCTAATGAATAGCTTGATTCTTGAGCACATTTTTTGAGGTTATGAAAAACCCTGATGTGATGGTGTCAAACGAACCTCAGATTCGAATTCATAGATACCAAAAAAATAAAGTAAACATGGTCTATTTATTAGCACTTTTCTTTCGATTTTTTTTGTGGAACTGCGTTATCAATTATGACTATCAATAGATATACATTTTATATTATCAGTTGGTGTACTTATGAACTCGCAACAATGTGCCTTACTACTATTGATAATAACAATGCTGTGTACCTGCGAATCATGATGTCATAAAAAATCAATTAGCTACCTGTATTTGTAATCCCTTGTGTATTATAGCTTTTTAAATGTACTGTAATACTAAAATAAAAATAAAATCGAGAATTTTAACACAAAAATAGTATGTTACATAACGAATTAAACATTTTTTTGATGTCTCTCGCAAGACCGTCAACTTAATGAAAATTTATTACAGGATATACTATACTACAGAAATATATTTTGTTAGTTGTGTGCTACCCACAGCTAAATTTCTTATTTATAATCATTATTAAAAGAAATAATCACGAAATATCGTGGCACTTTCGATGTTGATTTAAATGGGTTTATCAAAAAAATAAATGTATGTTTAATTTTTATTTTATATGGATATTTTCTAACGCGACGGTTCATTCCAATATTAGTGATACACCGTGCCCCGCGACTCGTGTCACCTTTGTCCACCGTCGTCCCACTCTCAGTACTTGACTGACCAACACCGTGTTCCATACGGCACGGTGCGCAAAGTTCAGTAAGTGCCGCAAGACCGACGACGACCCGCTGCAAATGATACGTCGAGTCTTCTTCCAGTTGTCATGGTGACAACGTCGACTATGTACGCCACCGGTCCGAACGGGTCGCACGGCCGGACTCGACGAACCGATTCGCACAGTCTCCTTCAACGCTGCTAACTTTTTGACGCCCTACGATCATACCGAACACCACGTCACAGACGCCAGCGAAAGTGCCGCGACATTATGAGAAGATTATTATTAACTGTGTTCATATATTAGGTTTGTCTATTTATTAAACGACCTGTTGTCGGTCCACGGGTAACCCTGAAAACCAGTGTCGACTGCATTATTGCGACGCAAGTCGTGTCAACATTCCTGTAATGCGGCACTAACAATTTTATTGACTAACTAATAAAAATGTTTGATAATCACGGTATCGGTATATTTCAATATCACAACCAAATATCCAATAATTTGTAACGATATCGATGTCAATATCTTTGACTACCCCTATGATGTAGGCGTATAATATATACACCTACATATGTATTATATACACCTACAATGTTAATACGAATGCAAGTTTATAAATATTGTGTTTTATTTTAACTAATTTAAATAAGCAGAGTGTTCAGTATGTAAGGAAACAAGTTAATTGTCACAAACAACGAGAAAAATAGAAACCCGTTTCCTTACTTACTGAACACATTACATAATGTGTATTACCCTTTGATATACAGCTCGCACAATATATTCCAGTGGAACGTCTGAGTAGTTTACAGTTCGACATACATGAAGAACAGACTTTAAATAGTAAATTTATATTATTTATGGTATAATAACATTTTTTTATAATTAAACAGTTTATTAGATTAAATTTTTTTAATTTTTGAAAATTTTTTTTTAACTTAATGTTTCAGTAACTTACATCAAACAATACCGATAAATTTTATATACTTTTATAAGAGAGAAAATTATTTAATTTACACTTACATAAATTTTTTACTATATCAAAACAAAATATAAAACAGAATTAAAATTTCACTGAAAATTAATTTTTATGAACCACTTATACAGGGTGATTTTTTTATCATAACCCACTCAATTACTTACAGAATAATAATAATATAAAACTTTTTTTTTTACTATCTTTAGTTACACATTATTCTTGAATTATTAACTATGTAATACTTTTTAAGTTCATCCCTTATGCCTGGTAAGGGTGTCAACTTTGTTTTTTTAAATGGTAACACATATTTTTAATTTAATAAAATGTTTGAGTTTTTAATTTAATAGTAAATGGCATTTGAATTTTTAATATAACTTAATTCGTTTATTAGATATAATCATTTAAAGTTTCGAATTTTTGAGTTAATATACAGGTATAATACACAAGGAATTACAAATATAGGTAGCTAAATGGTTTTTTATAACATCGATATTAGCAGGTACACAGCATTGTTATTATCAATGATAGTAAGGTACATTGATGTGAGTTTATAAATACACTAACTGACAATACAAAAAGTATATCTATTGATAGTCATAATTGATAATAAACAATCCGTGACTGTGATAGCAATATCATAAAAAACCAATTAGCTACCTGTATTTGTAATCCCTTGTGTATTATACCTGTATATTAACTCAAAAATTTGAAACTTTAAATGTTTATATCTAATAAACAAATTAAGTTTTATTAAAAATTCAAATGCCATTTATTATTGAATTAAAAACTCAAACATTTTATTAAATTAAAAATATGTGTTACCATTTAAAAAAACAAAGTTGACACCCTTACCAGGCATAAGGGATGAACTTAAAAAGTATTACATAGTTAATTATTCAAGAATAATGTGTAACTAAAGATAATAATAAAACATTTTTTTTAAATTATTATTATTCTGTAAGTAATGAGTGGGTTATGATAAAAAAATCACCTTGTATACAATTTTTTTTACCTTATGAGTAAACTTTTTACTTTAGGAAAAAGTAATTCCCGAAGAAATTCTATAGAATGTAATAAGTTTTTGGAATAAAAAAAACCGAAAAGTACATTTTATCTGAACAACTACATGATAAATATTATATTAGAAAGGATAATGTCCATGAATTCTCTTTCGAGGATTATAATAGCTTTACCTATTGCTATGATAACACATAATAAGCTACACTAAATATATGCTATAGACCTAGTGTCTTATTCTTAAAGCTAATAAAAAAGTAATAGATAATCTTGTTTTATTTAAATTTACAGAATAAATGATTAATGTTAGATATCGTATTTAATATAATCAATAATATTACAATTTATGATATGTTTTCCACACTTCTGACAATCTAAAATATATTGTAAACAGCATCTACAAAATATGTGAGAACACGATATTTCGCGTAATTCTTTTTCCTTTTCACACATACCACATTCTATAAAATATTAACTTGAATAAGAAAATACCTATATATTTTTATAAGAAATAATTATTTAGATTATACTTACCTAAAACATGTTCTTCTATAATAAATAGAAAATATAAACCTGAATTAAAATTATACTAAACAAATGAAACTTAGTTTAAACATTTTTCTCACTTAAACAAATATCAAAAGTTATAAAATAATAATCGTCGTATCAGTTTTAATTAGAATCAATTAATTAAAGACCATAATAACATCAATTGTCAGTTAATTGCCAATTTAATACTAAATAGATTTTTATCAAAATCAAATTCGTATTCAGCAGTTTTATATAAATTCAAATTTGTTCAAAATACATTTAAATTAATTAAAGACATGAAAAAAAAAGCATATACACCCAGTTTGGTAAAAATTTTATATTATGTAATTAATTAATATAATTTAATTAAAAATATACCTATTGTGTCGTCGTTATTATCTGAAAAAATTTAATTTAATCAGTTAAAAATATAAGTAGTTTTTCATTTTCAATAGGTTAACAATAGACATAAAAAAAAATGTTTTTTTCTGAAATTCATTTATGCATAAAAAAATTATGTAATTAATTAGTGCAATTTAATTTAAAATATATGAAAATTATACCTATTATAACTTCGTCATTATCTGAAAACAATTAAATTTAATCAGTTAAAAATTTAAGTAAAGTTTTTCATTTTCAGTAGATTGACAATAGACATAAAAAAGATATTTTTTTCTGAAAATCATTGATGCATAAAAAATCATTAAATAGAAAACAAAAGATTAAAATTGCTTGGAATTAGAAGATTTATTAAAATTATTCATTTTTAATTTGCTAGTGCAATATCTTACGAATTTGCTTAAAATGTTTTTTTATATTTCAAAAATATGTGTAATACTTTTGGATTAGGAAAATAAATCATGGGATATAATTTTGATCTAGTGTTTCAGAAATTATTTGTTATTCAAAGTATAGATTAAGAAAAAAAGTCTAACTATAATTAATTAGCTTCGATGCGAAGCTGAGAAGGTATTTTGAAGATATCAAACATTTTTCCATCGCTCCTTGTAAATTTTGGATATCCCAGAAAAATATACTGTTTTTAAAATCGGTCAATTTCGACGTTTTTTTTTTCACTTTTTTCTAAAAATTTATATAACTTATTGAAAAAAGAATAAATCAAAATATTTTTTTAATATAGAATTCTTAGATATTTCCCTTTCATTTAATATCAATTTTTTTGAAATCTGACACTTAACCTGCTCACAGGGGAGTATTCAAAATAGAAACATTTAACAAAACTCAACTTTTTCAATTTAAGTTTTGAAAATGTTCCGGAAATACTGCGTATTTTAGACATATACCAAATGAAAGCTTATGTCATGTACTATAAATTAAAAAAATATATATATATGTCCTAACGATTTATCTTCTACGTACAAACGGCTGCCGTAGTTAAAAAAACATGTTATTTTTGTGTTCAAATTTTATTTTGAAAAAATTTTCATCATTTCCTGTACATGGGAGAAATTTCCAAAAAAATTACAATTTTGTCATTTTTTTTTTTTTTCATAACTGTCAAAAATGAACAAATTAAAATAATTGTTTTTTATATCAAAACCTCAGGAATTTCTCTTTCATTTGATATAAACGGTTGTTGCATAGATGTTAGATGTGGTCTATTGGTTCGGGAACGAGGTTCGAACCCCACCCATCAAAATTACTTATTTTTGTATTTTTTTCTTAATCTATTAAATAGAAGTTAATGCTACTTTTGGAATAATCCACAATTCTTTAAAATTAAATACTATCTACAGATTTGCATCGAAGGGTTTCTTATGATAGTGATTATAATTACTGTCAGTTATCATCTATACTTGTCTCAATTATGCCACGACCTCACTGTGCTACCGTTTTTTTGTCTTTATATATGCTATTAAACTCGTTTCTACTGAACCTAATTTGTTCAAAATTATTAAAACGATACGAGAAAAGATCACAAAACATATCAAGTTATAGCATTCAGACAGACTGTAAAAGCTTTATAAAAAGTAATAGAAAATATAAAAAATAAATTATAAATGTTATTGGTGAATTTAGATCTTATATTGAATATTATTAATAATATTACCAAAATCGAAATCATCTCCACACTTCGTACAATATGAAAATAACTTTTTACAATGGTCACAATAATAGTGACCACACTTATTTTTCTTTAATTCCTTACTTCCGGAACAAACAATACACTCTATAAAATATTATCATTTATTATTAAGTTATAATCTAATAATTTTAACTAGAATCAACTAATTAGAGACTATAACCAAAATATACTATAAAATAACACACAGTCTGCGTATTCGCTGCTAACGACTGATGAATTGACAATAAAAAATATTTATTGCGAAATTAGCAAACAATCTAAAACTGTTGAAACCCAAAGGTCATCGTAATCATTCGACTTCAGTACGTAGCCTTATGCTTTGCGTAAGTCATCAGTCTTATTACTCGGTTTTCCTTTATTACTCGCTATCCGGCTTATTGTATCAAGTCAAATCTTTGTTCATTCCTTTACACATATCTGCTTTCATCCTCCTATACATTTAAGCGTGTTTGTGTCCTGCACATCGTCTGCTTCTCATACCTAGGTGTTACCTCTAGTCCCATCTTATAACAATGGCCTTTCGACACCTATAGTTAATCCGGAGTGTCAGCCGAGAACGGGAACTGCTGTACGATCTCAATATACTCATCTTTATTCTCACCTCCCTTTGTGGTTAAAGTAAATGTAATATGATAAATATTTTGTGCAAGATATAGATCATTAAAGAACTTCCAATAGAGATCTTTACTATAGATGTAATTTATTTTATTCTATCAATTCTTATACATATATGGATGTACTTCCAAATTCTATGATTATAATAAATAAGATAATAAATTTTCATTACTAATAGCTAAGGAGAAATCAACAGCTAATACTAATACAATCATACATATAGTAAGTGAATTCTGAAAAAAAAATTATTTAATTTTAACATAAAATTTATATCACGAAGTTATATAGAAGTAGAACATACCATGTTATGATTTTTTTGGTGTTGCATTTCAATAGTCTATATGCAATTTAAGTTTTTAAACTATAGAATGTAATATAGTTGAATAAAATAAAAAATAACTGGTTGATTTTAAATACATGAATCTTTTTTATTTTAGGAAAAATATGCTATTTAATTTATTTGACTCGTGGCTTCTATTTATTTATTACTTTTAATTATGAAATATGTATATCAAAAATATATTTAAATGGCATTGGTCCGACACTAAATCATATTAAACTTTTTTTTTATAAAATTATTTTAGGAATTTTATGGTAAAATGTATTTTAATATTTAGTATGTAATAAAATATTGAACAATTTGACAATACAAGAAAATTACTAAATGATGTCCAATTCTCAAATTGTTTTTTTAAATGACAGAGCTTGGTAACATAACTCTGGGAAAATTATTGGCGCAGATTATATAATTTAATATACTTTTAATTAATGCATTTTTATGGAAAAATCATTATTTAACGGAAAAATATGGGATAATATACTTAATGAATCACAATGTATATACAAATATCTTATTATATAATAGAACAAGAAAAAAAACGCTTTTCTAGGAAAATTACTTAGCGTGCTCGGATTTTCAAATTTTTTTTTTTCAACGAAAGTACTCGGTCACCAGACTCCGGGAAAATTATTGGCGAAGGTCGGAAAATTTTTGACGCTCACCCGCGAGCGTTTAAAAAATGTCGACCGTTTTCGAGAAAAACGCTCGCTGACGCCAGCGTTTTACGACTTAAGGTTTGAAATTTTCATCAAACCCGCCTACTGACATTGCTGAGATATGATAAAAAAATCAATCTAATCCGATCATTTTTCACCGTTTTACGAGCTTTTTTTTTCTTAATTTTAAGTCCACGCGCAGTGATTCATTTCTGCTGATACGTTTATTATGAACCTTAAATATATGGTGCAATATTTATTATTAAGACACTATTTTGCATTTGCACTATATTTTATCAAGGAATGTTATGTGTTTATATAAATTTCAAGACGTTATAATTATATAAGTTTGTACTTTCATTATCAGAACAGTACTAAGTACAGTATTAATAATTTATTTTTCTCATATATGATGTATGAGACTATGAGTTTATCGTTTGAATTGGGATTCATCTATGATAACTCTGATGTCCATCGTTAAATCGCAGTTACCAATACATTTATCAAAATTAAAGTTTTTACAATGTGCCACGTATAATAACCTACTCAATTTTTTTTTTTTATTCTACAATATAAACACAATTATTATAATTAGATTATTAATCATTTTTGTGTATAACAGGGGTGTATTTAAGAGATATATAGGTCCCCCTTGAACCAGTGCTATCAATATTTTTTTAGGCAACTTCTAATATATTAGGACCTAATGTCCTTTTTTTTATCATTACTTTAATTTTAGCAAAAAAATTTCTATAACATGTTTAACAAAGTAAAAAACCCAGCACAGGGGGGTCGCGGCACAGTGGTGTCGTGGTATAGTTGGATCAAGTATAATGATATCAGACAGTGATTAAAATCACTATAAAAAAAAACGCTTCCATGCAAATCTTTAGATAGTGTTAAATTTTAAAAAAATTGGTGTTTTATTCCAAAAGCTACATAGNAATTTTAAAAAATTGGTGGATTATTCCAAAAGCTTCATAAACTGCTAGTTCCTTATTAATATCCTGATTAAGACAAAGTATGTCGAATAAAAAAGAGATTATTAGAAAATAGTATTTCCCATAAAAAAATTGTGTGGATCCATACACTTTTCAATAAGTTATAGCATTATAAAGTTAAAAATGTAAAAAATAAAATCGAGAATTTTCATAGAAAAGTAGCATTCGATAACCATTAAGACAAGTCCAGAGGTCAATTTTTTTTTTCAAATTAAAGTATATTACATAAGCTTTAACTTAAGATATATATAAAAGTGTCAGACCTTCCGGAACACTTTCAAAAGTTAAGTTGAAAAAGTTCTACTTTCTATATGCATTTTTATGTTTTGAATCCCCCTTGTATTAAGGGAAATGGTCCGATTTAAAAAAAAAGTATGTCGAATGAAAGATGTACATAAATACTACTTCTCATGAAAAAATTGTATTGATCCATACATTTTTTAAAAAGTTATAGCACTTTAAAGTAAAAAATGTAAATTATAAAGTCGAGAATTTTCACACAAAAATAGCATTCGATAGCCATTTTCACCATAAAGATAAGTCCAGAGGTCAAATTTTTTTTTTTCAAATTAAAGTATATTACATTAGCTTTAATTTAAGATATATATAAAAGTGTCAGACCTTCCGGAACACTTTCAAAAGTTAAGTTGAAAAAGTTCTACTTTCTATATGCATTTTTTATATTTGAAGCCCCCCCATATATAGGGAAATAGTCTGATTTAAAAAAAAAGTATATCCAATGAAAGATGTATATAAATACTACTTCTCATGAAAAAATTGTATTGATCCATACATTTTTTAAAAAGTTATAGCACTTTAAAGTAAAAAATGTAAATTATAAAATCGAAAATTTTCACACAAAAATAGCATTCGGTAGCCGTTTTCACCATGAAGACAAGTCCAGAGGTCAAATTTTTTTTTTTCAAATTAAAGTACATTACATTAGCTTTAATTTAAGATATATATAAAAGTGTCAGACCTTCCGGAACATTTTCAAAAGTTAAGTTGAAAAAGTTAATTTTTTGTGAAAAAATTGTCTTTTTAAATCCCCCCCTGTGGGCAGATAAAGGACCAGATTTACAAAAAAAANCCCCCTGTGGGCAGATAAAGGACCAAATTTACAAAAAAAATATATCAAATGATAGGTAAAGACATCAAGCATCTATAAAAAAAAAATTATATTGATATGTTCATTTTTGAAAAAGTTACGGCACATTTTAGTAAAAAAAATTGAAAAAATCTCGAAAATTAGCAATTTTTAAATTTGTAATTTTTTTGGAGGTTTCCCCAATTTACGGGGAACGGTGGAAATTTTTTCAATTTTGAAGGGTAATGTCTTCGACTAGATACGANTTTTTTCAATTTTGAAGGGTAATGTCTTCGACTAGATACGATTTGTGATCTTTTGACGTATCGTTGAAAGAAATCCGTTCGGTGAGAGCTGAGAAAAAGTGGTAACAGACATTTTTAGATATATAGTTTTGTTACACTGATTCTGAAGTAATATTTTTTTCTGAAAAACACTAATCGTGCCCGGCGTAGCCGGGTACCTCTACCGGAGTCAGTGGCCTACTTATGATGACGGCACGAAGAGGCTTACGCGCCTTCGGCTCGAAGGGCCCCGGGTCTGGGGTAGAGCCCCAGCTAGTCGGAGCCTAGTAATTAATAACATACTATAAAAATAATATACAAACATCAACAGTGTTATCATATTTAATAATTTCAATTTTTTTTTTTGATTATCCACTGATATTCATCGGAAGAAATAATTTTCTGATAAATTTTTACATTATTGACTATTTTCAAATCTAGAGGTGGCTTTTGAATAACAAAAAAATCAGGTTTTTTAGAATAACTTAATATTACTTTTTACAGTTCTTTGGTTACAGAAAAAGTATAAAGTATATCTGAAATATTATCTATAAAAATTTAATCAGATATGGTTTTTACTAAATTAAATTTTTTATTTAAACTTTATTGTTTAACTTAGTTATAATTAAATTTTATGTTGCTTATTTATGTTACAAGTTGGAATTGTCTAAATAACAATTGTTCAACAAATTTTTTTTTTTATTGTTATTAGATTTATTACATTGTATTATAATACATTAATAATATAATACAAATTAGTAGTCATTTTTGAATATTAATATAATTTATTTCCAATATTTTTTTATGTAGTCAACATGAATATAGATAAATAGATCTGAATGCTCTTCTAGCGTCTAATGTAGGCATATTAAACTTCGAAAAAAAAATTGTATCATTCATAACTTACGTATTTATAATAAAAGTAAAGTAGCACAGTGAGGTCGTGGCACAGTATGGAAGTGGCAAAGTTGGGACAAGTATAGATGATATCTGACAGTGATTATAAACACTATCATAAGAAACGCTTCGATGCAAATCTTTGGATAGTGTTTAATTTTAAAGAATTGGTGGATTATTTCAAAAGCTACATGATCTGCTATTTCCTTATTGATATCCTGATTAAGATAAAGTATATAAAAAAATACTCTACTTGCTATTCACCTTAAAAAGGGCTATGCCACTTTAAAAATGACTAAAATATTTTTCTTATGCATATTTTACGAACCCATAATATTGAAACCGTCATGTATACATTTTTTTGGGGGGGTTTTTTATATTAGTTTATATTAGCACAATAATTAGAGTTAATTGACATGAGTTTTCAATAAAGAAATTGTTACGACCTAAATTTAGTGGTCGTCTGCTAGAATAAAAGGCACTATTTGTCAATTATATTTTTTTATATTAAATTAGTACACTGCGATACATCAAGCAGTACGTTGCGTTACAAAATAAAACAATTATATGTCTTTCCATTATTGATAAATTTGTATTATTAATAATAAATTATAACAACAACAAAGTTCTGAGTGTATGAATAAATTTTATTTATTTAATAATATTTCTGCTCATTCCTCAACTTGATTAATAATTCAACAATACCT